TACGAGTTCTGACTTGCAGTAAATGGTTGTTACAGAAAGCAAGACTCCCTACAGTTACCACTATTGTTGCACCTCCTGGATATGACTGGAAAGAAATCACAACGTACATCATGAAAACACATAATTTAGAGATTTCAGGAGGGCTTGGACCATCAGTTGGATTGGTAAGAGATTTTGTACCTGGCTACTCGGTTCTTCACTTCGTACTGTATATGCCCACCAAGAAGAGGCTTAAGTCTGATGCAGCCTAACTCCTAGATATTTCTGGTCTTTTCAGGTGCTGCGTGTTGGCCTGATGGGATGCAACAGCAGCAAGGCCAATGTTGACATGGTGCTGGCAGCACTAAAAGACGCTCTGAAACACTGCCACAAGAGCAAAGTGTAACATGCTGCTGTTGAATACTTTAAAGATAATCCTGAATCAATGCTACTGTCAAGTAGTGTCAAGGAAGAGACTGTGTGTAATAAATAAACCTTTATTCTCAGTACTTGTCTTGTCCAGCTCAGTGACTACATGAATGGGAGCAATGGGCTTGTCTTCATAATGCTGTAGTACGTTTTGTCAGCAGCAGTCTGCGATCTCTCAGATGTGTTCCTTCTGTTTTTTGTGAAATCCCCTATTTATTTCATTCAACAACTACATATCATGAGTCTTGACCATTGGTACCATGTTAAAGCTTTGTTGGAGCTGTAGTTGATGAATGAGTATATGTTTTTCGTCAGGTTTAAAAGACATACTGGAGTGAGTTGGAAGTGGACAAGGCAGAAAGTGTCCCAGGATTGATAGGGAAAATCTGACAATCCAGACAATGTAGGAGTTTACTAACTCCAGAAGAATGCTCAATGGTAAAACAACAACAAATAAGACGATGGCGGTAATGCAACACCAACGATACACCAGGATAGTAGAAGCAGTCATGGACTTTATATCTGCAACTCCCTTGCTTTTCATTTTGGTTGCAGAGATATTAGCCATTATGTTTAAGAACACTGATGAAATACAACAGTTGAATGTTTCGGGAAGCTCATTGATTATTAGTCAATTAGCGGACAATACTACCCTCTTCCTAAAACATGCGTCAAAAATTCCAAAAACCTTAAAGATTATCTCTTTTTTTCAAAAGCCTCAGGTCTATACTTAAATTTGAATAAATGCGAACTGATGGCACTCCATGATCACCCTTTAACATCTATTCATGGCATACCAGTTAAGAGTGATGTCAAATACCTGGGGATTACCATTTCTAAGGATCTTGGTTATAGAGAGAAAATGAATACAGATAATATTCTGAAAAAGAGTAAAATGATTTTGAATACATGGCTGCAGAGGGATTTGTCTCTATTTATTTATTATTTATATATTTATCTAATATGGAAGCCATATCAAGACTTATTTACCCAGCTTATTCAATGGCTATCCCTGATAATGTAATTAAAACAATCAACCAGATTGTTTTAAATTTTATTTGGAGAAACAAACATCACTATATTAGAAAAGATGACATTGTTGAGTCTTTGGAAGAGAGTGGGTTGAATGCAATTGACTTTGATCCTATGAATGGTACTTGAAAGCTAAAATGGTTACAAAGTTTTATAAATCAGTATGAAACAATTTGGTTTAGTTTACCTTCAACATTTTTTATGGACTTCGGAGGTATAGAATTTCTGTTGAAATGTGATTTTGAATTACTGAGTTGCCAATAAGGTTATCTGTATTCCACCAGCATGTCCTCCATTATTGGAAACTGATCTAAAAACTTTCCCCCTCATAACTCACCAATTTGGAACAATCAATGTATTCTGATAAAGAAAAAGTCTTTCTTTTTTAAAAACTGGATGGAACAGGAAATATGGTCTATTCAACATCTAATGGATCACAGAGGTAACCTATTGGACTATGATGAGTTTAGGCATAAATACAGTGTAATATGTACTAGTAGAGAATATTGTGCTGGGATCAGAGCAATTCCAAAAGCTCTTATTCAAATGGCTAGGGGGGCCTTATTATACATACCGATAGTACTTAACCTTCCCACATTGTCTATTGAAGCATGCTCTTTTTTGGATGAGAAATGTAATAACAAGTTTTTAAGATCTTCTCTAACCAAGAAATGTTTTCCATCGCCTCTTAAAAGAAAATATATATTACAGAAATACACCTCTGTGACCTCTACGAGAATTAGATGTGAATACCTCATTTTCCCGATACCACCTAAAGCTAAAGAAGTACATTTAAAAACAATGAATACCAGCCTTGACTTATAGTAATGTTAGATTGGGTTTTATAATGGAGAATTATACCTGATAATTCTAGCGAAATATTTTTTACACAAATGTAAATTCTTAAAAAACACCCCACATTTCACTGTTTTTCTGAAAGAGCTGACTCTCTACTTAGATTCAATGAAGATAGTTAATTCCAAGAAGGCTATATTAATTTATACACTTTTGTCAGATTTGTCATTTAATTGGACCCCAACCAGAGGTTAACCCTTTAAAGTCCTCACCAAGAAAAAAGTGATGGAAAAAATTTTCTTTACATATTTTATTTCATTAGGGCAATAACAACTTTAGATAACATCATATAAAATGACAATCATCAGCAGAGAAGGCAAATTCAGCACTTCATCCCTAATTGTGAAGATAGGGTTTATAGGGAAGTTCATATAAAACAGCACTACACAATAACTTAATTGATTATTGAACATTTTGAATATTAACAACATGGCAAACACAAAATCAAGTAAATATTTCTGTTCTTTGAGTATTTCAGAAGAACACATCTGTATGTACTCTCAACCTTTTAGACAGACTTAGATACTGAGACAACGTATCAATGTCGTGTTAGATCCCTGCAGATTGCTCATCCATGTGGTGGTGCAACAGCATTATATCCACTTTATTTCTGGTGCTAAGAACAGAAATACAGTATTTACTTGGTTTAGTGTTTGATTTGTTGGCATATTTAAAATGTTCAATAATCAATGAAGTTACTGTGTAGCGCATACAGTATTTTATGAACTCTCCTATAAACCCTACATACTCAATACGGGATGAAGTGCTGAAATTGCCTGCTGTTGACTGTCATACAGATTTATTTCTGCAACAACTTAGCATTTTATATGATGTTTTCTAAAGTTTGTTGGTATTAAAATGTAGTAGTTTTACAATGAAGAGCCATCTTTCTGAAACCGGTCTGGACTGTCTTTGTCCTGCTGATTATCAGTAAAATTAATAATCTGGTGTAACAGCTTGAATCTCTTTACGTCTTGAGATGTGACTGGTGGTGCCAGTAGTCATCCATTGCTGGGAAGTTGAAAACACCTTTGACAGGTAGTACTGCCAGGAAATAGTCACTCTCTTCGGGGCTAGTTTTGATCAGATCCCCCAACTCAGATCGGTATATTCGGCAATATGTTGTCAGTGAAGAGTGTTTTGAAGTACTGGAATGGAGTCTTCACATCATCAGTGTTCAAATCTTGATTCAGGAACACTGAATGCCTCAATGTCCTCAAACTTCCAGATTCTCAAGTACCTCAATGAGTGCCTCTGTTTGGGCCTGAGGGTGATTTAGGGTCAGCAGTGTCCTCTGGCACTGTCTGCTTGTGTTGGCTAATGATCAGGATGCTCTATTTGGTTGTCTTTATCATCACTCAGATCAAGACTCAGACTCTTGAGTTTTTCTGGTATACGGGCTGGAAAATTCTTAGGCCTTGCACCATAAAATGTTTTAGTGTCCATCGATTATTTGTGAAACAAAAAGGAAAATTACACTTACAAACCATGTACTGTTATAATGCTAGTAATTTTACTACCAACACATGTTTATTTTGTTTAGATATTTATTTGTTTTTCAAGATATTTATTTGTTTTTAAGTTTTTTATTCCATAAAAACTGTACATTTATTATCTTTTTATTATTATTTTGTTGTAGCATCATTTCACCATTATAAAGACATATTTATGAAATTAATTCAGCATATATATAATGGTAACACATTATATGTATCATGTTAACAATAATGAATGTTCAGAAGTTTTCAATTTCATAGCAAATAGTCAATTTGTATTACATTAGCATAGGCAACCTTTACCATGAAGTGCCAATGTTTTTAGAAAATTATTTGACCCATACCCACATTATTATTTTTGTTACATCAAGTTACATAATTATGTTAAGTAATTCCACTGGAACTATAATATGTCAAAACAAATGTGCTTACCTTTGAAATTTCCACCAAAAACAGTGTTCATGTCTGCAGTACGATTTTAACTTACTGTAAGGAGGGGGTCTGAAAAGGCATGTAAATCCTCCTTTGGCATGTATAGCGCCCACTCAAAGCGCTTTTACACTACATCTGCATTCACCAGTCATTCACATTCACATCCTACAGCTGCCAGGGGTAACTTGGGGTTCAGCATCTTGCACACCACTTCGACATGCTACCAGGGGGAGCCGGGATTGAACCGCTGACCTTCCGATTAATGGCCAACCCGCTCCACCTACTGAGCCACAGCCGCTCACTGGAGGATATTTTTTTAGTACAGCATACCTAGCCCGGATGGTAGCGATTGCTTAAAGAGGTAGAATTAAGTTCATAACATTTTACAAGGAGATAAAGTGACTCAAAATGTTCTTCCAAATGGTTGAGAGGACATTAAAGGGCAAAAAAAGTTTTGATAATTTGTTTGTTCTTTCCCTATTTTCTTGCTGTTTGTGAAGTCTATAATTGCGCATGTAACTTGCACCTTATTTGTTTTTTTACTTAGTCCTGGACTACACTCCTACTACTATGGGCTAGAATTGTTTGTTTTGTATTATGCAAACTAAATTAATGGAGAGGAAAAAAAACAAAATTATATCTGCAACTGGATTACCCCTCTGAGAATGGTGACGCCTTGATTGAGACTGAACTGTGAGAGACAGCACTGTGCCGTAAAGCATCTAGTCTACCGGAAAGCCAGAAGGAAAAGAAGAAGAAGAACAGGAAGCTGCGTCGTTGTACTTCCGCATTGATGGTTCGCTTCAGTAAAAGGCGGGTAAATGTGATGAGCTATTTAGCTAGCGAGAGCTTGTCCTCCGTCTTTGCCAGCCGCAGGACATCGAAGTTGACAGTGGACAGTAATGGCGTGTAAAAGAGGAGCGCTCATTGTGCTGGAGGGAGTGGACAAGGCCGGGAAAACGACGCAGTGCAAGAAACTGGTTCAGTCGCTGCAGCAGAGCAGCAGGCCGGTAGAGATGATGAGATTCCCCGGTGAGACGTGCCATTGTTTCTCTTTGTAACGTTACTGCCTAACAGTTAGTGGGTGTGCAGGGGTTTACTGTAAGTACAACTTTTCATTATTGTGTGAGATTAATATGTGCCGTGGTGTGGTTTGTTGGGGCAGACAGGACTACGACAATTGGAAAGCTGATAAGCGCCTACCTGGAGAACAAGAGTGACTTGGAGGACCACACGGTGCACCTGCTGTTCTCCGCTAACCGCTGGGAACTGGTGTAAGTTGCTTTATTGCCCCCTGCACACTATGACACGGGAATGTAGTTTGTATGATGCTTTGGCAATATCGTTGTTATACATTCATGCCAATAAAGCTAATTTGAATTGAATTGAATGCTTTTAAACAGTGACGATCTAACTCCGACAATACTGTGAAAACATTAATTTATTGTCAACACCGAGCCGCATGAAGAGCGGAAGTGGAAATATTCTGCCCAATAAGAGACCAAAACCAACAATGACCTGATGATCCTACTACTAACAATTATTGTGTGTTGTCAAAGCCTGAATGTATATATTTTACTCCTCTGTGCCATAGGGCTGCATTGTTCAGTAACCGTTAATAACACATCGAGTCACTGTTTCACTAGGAATATCACACAACAGCTTTAACCTTTAAAAAGGCACAGAATGTTGAGTAAATGTCTTCCCTTCATTTCTGCAGTTGTCTATATTAGCAATGGTGAAAATTCTAATCTGGAAAAAAAATGCATTATTCTCCCCATTCATCATTAGCCTTGAGACGTTTCCTCTAGCTTGTAGACATAGCCAGTATTTTCATAAGCAGCATGATAATATAATCCTTAACCACAGGCCTTTAATGAAGAAGAAGCTGGAGCAAGGCACCACTCTGGTAGTCGATAGGTACGCCTTCTCTGGAGCTGCTTTCACCAGTGCCAAGCCGGTGAGTCTTTTCTCAGCCTTTTTATACTCTGCATCCACCAGAGAGCAGTGTTGTTGTTGTTGTTATTACTGTGTTTGAGAGGAGCAACAGATAGTTTGGCATGCTCATCTCTTTCAGGGTTTCTGCCTGGACTGGTGCAAGAACCCTGACGTGGGACTGCCAAAGCCGGACCTTGTCATGTTTTTACAGCTCAGTCCAGCTGAGGCTGCTCTCAGAGGTCAGTTTGGAGAAGAGAGATATGAGACCAGTGTTTTCCAAAGAGCGGTTCAACAGCAGTTTGAACAGCTGATGAAGGATCCTTCAGTCAACTGGCAGGTAGGAAGCGTGTCTGGATTGTAGATGTATTCCCAGGTGTCATTCGGATCTATAATGTTTAACAGCTCATGGTCTAAATTGTCTGTTGTAGGTAATTGATGCTTCTCAAACTGTTGAGGATGTGCACAGGGACATCACCACCCACAGCCTTAATGCAATCAACACAGCTCAGAACATGCCACTCGGAGAGCTGTGGAAGTGACCCAGTGAGACCAAGACTTTGTTGCTAAAATGACTAAATGACTCTTCTGCACACAACACTTTTCTTTACACCCCCCGACATTTGTTCTAGTCATTGCTTGATTGAATGCAGAAGATAAATCCCTTGGCTGTGTGATCCAAATGTGATTTCATACTATCTTGAAATTAAGTAGAACCATTGTCAAATATCAGATTCTGATTTTATTTAAGGTTTTAGTCCTTTTACATGTCTATTGTCCTTTCAGCTTTCTATATACTGTGTCGATTAAATAAATAATCTTCAAAGGAACTAGTGTATATGTTTTAGACTCGGCAAGGATACTTTGCATGGAGAGTTAATAGAACTTGTCTGAAGATTTGACTTGAATTTGGTTTCATTAGACTTCAGTTATTAGTGACACACCGCATAAGCTATGGGCATCATGAACCATTGTTTCTATACAACATAAAACTTATGGCAATTTTACTTATGGAGTCAGGGAAAGGCACCATATCACTTCAGAATGAACAATTAAAGTGTTAAGACTCAAAATGGAAACATGTGAAGATGTGCATACAGAATTTATCCTGAGCTCCTGCTACGGCTTCCACCAGGCAGTCTCAATGTTGGATACAGAGAGCATTCAGTGGCTGTTGAGAACGCTGTGTCGCACACACTGACTACACCATTTGTGCTGGACTGGCTTAAGAGGTCTCCGGTTAATGTTCATCCCCTCAGGCGTCCCTTCTGATACAGAGAAGAGAGAATCTCTCACCAACCGTCGAACAGTAAATCATTGTTCATATGTTCCTCACAGGGAAAGGATCTCAAACTCTTCATCTTCTGAATCAAAGAACCGCTCCAACCTGTCTGAGTCCGAGAAATCTATGAAGTGAGGGTCAACACGTAAAAGAAAAGGAAAAAAAAAACATTAAAATTCATTTTCATTAACTGAATTTTGAGTATATTTTGCAAAACAAATATGCAGTCCATTTACCAGGGGTAAGGTTAAGGGCATCCACGCTGACCATGTGAGAGGGCTGACTGTCTACTAGTTCAAACATGGGCAGGCCCCCTCTGTTGCAGGACAGCTAGAAGAGAAGGACCATCATCTTATGATGTACAGATTCCTCTAACAGTAAAGTTATAGTTTTATTTAACTGTTATAGACAAGTCAGGAGCAAGAAAAGAGCAGTGTTCACAAACATACCCTTCTTATGCGCATACACCAGTCATCAAACTCGTCCTCTGTTCTGCAGAAGAAACCCTGGCAGATACCAGAAAACAATTAGCTGTGTAAACATCTGAGTTACTGTAAAAAGTTTTCAGCCTGCTCACATCCCATTTAATGTTGAGATAACAAACGCTCTGTGCTATAAAACCCTCCCAGGCATTCCTACCGCTGCGATGGATGGGTCTAGTTCACAGATGTGCATGCGACAGGGTGGGTGCTGACAGTGGTACGTCTCATCAGGGACCTGGCCGTCTTCACATGGCTCCACTGCAGGCTGAGTGGTGTGCGGGTCTAAATAGATGAGTTCCTCTCCTGGTCAAAAAAAGAAAAGAATGTATTAATCATTTGATTTTTCTCTTGGTGTACATAGAATTACTATGGTGAGCATGAGTGTGCAGTGCACGTTTATTATTAACATGTTTATTTCACAAACACAGAGACTAGACATACCGACATAACCAATGAAGTAATGGGCACTGTTGGGTTTCCCCCCAATAACACCCAGGGACTGAGGCAGCATGAAGCATTGCTGTGAAAAGAGACGAGAGGTTTATCTCACCCCACCTGTAGCTGACTTTGTCTCTGTGGTCATTTAGGTTCCTGTTTTCATACATTTTTAAACCAGTATCCTACAAACATATAAATTACATGACAACCATTTTCCAAAGGATATACTTTGTTGTTTTTTATATTATTAGTATAAGTTTAGTTCCTCAAGGCACTTACCATGTCGGCAAATCTACAGCAAGAACACCAGAAACACACCCACGAGGTCAGTGTAAAACCTGGTGGATTTCCAGTATGCAAACCTGAGCTCACCACAGTGTCTTTGTTTTGAACAAAGTATCCTCACAGCACAGCATTACAAGGTAGATTTATTTTAAAACACAGGGCTGTCTAACCAGATGAATGATTACCACCATTAAAACAGCAAATATCTTGATGCTGATTTTAAATATAGAATTTTATCACTAATTGAGAAGCAGATAAAACAAATTTAAGATTCTGTTCCCCAGATCAAAGAATATATTGAGTGGTTCCTTGTTTGGGAATTTAGACTGGCATGTGTTGCATCTGTATGCCAACCACAGTTGTTCTGTATATTTGCAGAGGTTTGCAGTTACGTGTGTGAGAGCACGTAGACTGGTGGAAAGCATGCAGGGATCCTTGCAACTCCCTTAAGATTGGTATCTATCTCAGTGAACACCAGGGCCCCGTTTCAGAAAGCGGGACTGGTGAAAATATAATGGTATGTTAAGCCTGAGATGAGGGAAAATTTCTGTTTCAGAGAGCGAGATCAGATAAACTCTAGATCAGTAACTCCGGCAACTGATGCTATGAACCCAAGCTCTCCGGGAGGAGGATGACTGGTGCAGCAATCACAGGTTCATGAGTAAACTGTGTCTTATATTTGATCTATACCTATCTTCATAAGCAGGTAGTCGGTTGCCACCAACATTTAGTCCTGTCAGGTTACAGCTTCATAAATATAGCCTTCCTATTTAAAATGAATGTAATGGGCTGTAGGAGAATTCAAGCACTTTATCATTTATTAAGGAAAGTCTATAGGACTAAGCCTTGCACAGGGCCATGGGGACTCCACTGACTGAGCCACCTGCGCTCCACAACCCCAATATTTGAGGATATAATGACCGTTATCTCCGATACAAAACCTTTGAGATTGAGAAATTGATTGTTGTTTTTATAGATTCAATAGGAATATCCATGTTGATGTACCTCACCTTAAGTGTTTCGATGTAGGCCTCATTTATATCACTCAGGCCCAGCCTGAGGGGGATGAGCAGGACCAGAGGTTTCCAGAGAGCTGTCTCCTCCTCAGCCAGGGCACACGCACCCTCCAGGCAGCCATTGAGCCCCCCCATTCCCTCTGGCTCAGCACAGGCTCCTTCAATGTCCAGCCAGGGCATACAGAGACGCTCTGCGGTGACAAAAATAAACACAAAATAAGTGGAGAAGATAAATGAGTCTTCGATTCAATTTGTGGCCTTTGTTAAGATGGATTTTACTGTTCGGGATAAGCATTAGGTGGTGCAGTAGTAGGTCAGAAAAAGTTTAAAACAGACCTGCTTTGGAACAAAATACTGACGCTGCACACTCAGCTACTTTCTGTTTTCATCAAATTAAGACACCAATCCACCTAATGGAAGCTTTCTACTTAAATGCCTTTTTTTTAATCTCTCCTTTGTATATTTGCACATGGACTAGTACCAAAATAAACTTTCTATACTTACATTTATACTTTCATTCACATTTCATTTTCACCCAGAAACTCTGTCCTGTAATAATGGTAAGATTTAGCTGAAGACAATCAGCTCGGTCCATAGTTTAACCTGGAGTACTAGAACTGGAGTGACATTTAAACAGCTTATGCTAATGCTTGATAAGAGGGAGAAAAAAAAAAACCTGAACAAAAGCGGTTGCACTCACTGATTTCCTCGATGACCACAGTGTTGTCCATCGCCACGTGTACAACTAATCTGCTCCACGTGTCAAACACAGCCAGCTTCCTGAAAGCATCACACTGAGACAGTCACACTTTTGTGTTTTACCAGACTGGACAGACATTTCTTTAAATAGTTTTAAACCTCCTCAGTGTACACTATCTTGTCGTTTTTGTTCATTGTTTGACAGGGGGATGGATGAATGCATTGTGAGAGAAGAAAAGAAAGACGACATTATATTGCGCTTAAGCACAAGAATGCACTTGAAAGCGTGACGTTATACACATTCCTGCCGCCACTTTCACACTATTAGGCTGACTGACGGTTGGTAGCACTAATTCTCTGAGAAATATAACAATGTGCCTGTAAAAAAGAAAACTGCAGGCTAGTAAACATGGATTTACATATATATAAATATATATATTTTATAAAATCAGCTTCACACATGTTTTGATAGGAAGGAAATACATACAATGTATTTGGGTGAGAGACTGAATGTAAACATAACTTTTGTTTACAAGAAAACTCTACAGGGCAACTTTAATCTTTAAATTATCATGCAGAAATGCCAATAATTCACTGGTTTTACTATATTTGTCATCTATGTAAGTTAAATATCTCTCGGTTATGAAAGCATCATCTTGGGCTATGGGAACTCTGGCATTTTTTTACATAATATATATTATGTAAAAAATATATTAAATAAAAATAGTCATTCATTTGCAGCCCTAAAATTTAACATCTGGAAAACTAGCAGCTTTGTTACAGTACTTACTTTAGAACCTGGGCAACTGTGTTTGGTCCATACCACTGGCCTATAGGCTTTCCCTCTCCAACTCCCATTTGGGCTGCAGCATTTAGGGACAAAAAAGAAAATAATATAGGCAAACTTTTCAGGACTGTCTGGGTGAGTCCTTGATATAATTAGAAAACTTTAACACTCACTACTTACCAATTTGATGGATGGAATAATAGCTGTCTTTTTTGTCAATAAAGGCGTTTAGAATGCTGACATACTCTTCTCTTTGTTTCTGGCCTCTGGCCCATCTCCAGTCTGAGAACAAAAAGACAGTTATCAAGGCCTGTTTAAAACAAGCTCTGTGTGGCGAAGTCTACTCAGAAGAGCTGTTAGTGCCACACAGTGATAAAATCTGTTTTCATCTACGTATGTCAGTATCTATCTACAATGAAGGGAGAAATCTATGTCTTTGATTTTGTTTGTTTTTTAAAGTTGTCTTACCTCTGCCTAAATGTCTACACGCCAAGGCCTCGCCAAGGATCATCTGTCCGCACCGTAACATACATCCCCATCCTGTATCCGATGTCGGTCCTGTCCCACCTGTAGCACATTCAAGAAACAGGGCGAGATCCCCTTTTGTAATTACATGTGAAAACCGAGATTACTCAAATCTCCAAACTCATGATAGTAGTTGAGGGGCTCAACTAAACCACACTCGTCTTCACTTACCAATTGGTGGGAAGTTTTTTCTGTATGTGAACCACAGCCGTGAAGTGACATCTGATAAAATCTCATCTTTCTCTACATGAAGAAATCACCATATTACAATGCATCCACAGAAATAAGTGTATACTTTATAATATGATCCTAAATAACTTAAATCCTAATTTCTCTCCATCTCACATACACTGTATATCTCCCAACCCCACCTGTGAGTGCATTGTATTCTTTCCCCAAGATCCACACAGGCTCGGAGGTCTCGGGAAAATCTTCAAACTCTCCAAAGCGAAGTGTGTCGTATGTCAAGGTAGCTGCAAAAGAAGACCAGGGTCAACTGTAAGCCTGTGGGAAATTACAGGGGGAGAAACTGCTGCTGGGCATGTTGTTGACCACTAACCACTTGTTACAGCTAATAAAAATGAGGCTATCTGTCAGCGTGTAAAGATGGAGTATCCATTAGCTGCAGTCCCTTCCAGAAAGGATGTTCTATATAAGCCTGAGTATCTAGTATTTTCTGTAGTTTTCTGTGATTTGTTGTTGGATACATATGAAAAATAAAACTCAGTATCTAGGATTTAAAATATTTGTTTCTGTAAGTTAAGCTGGGTTTAATTTTCTACGCAAGGGAGCAAGTGAAGGAGGAATCTCAATGTGGGATAAATAAAGTATCAAGTTTCAACTTCCTGCGAAATCCATTTCGCTTTACAAACAAGCCTGACAAAGTAAGGACTGACCTGAATTGGATTTAAAGGGGTACTCCTGCAATTTAGCATCGCACTTAACATACATTGGGATGACCTTTAGTCCCTAGTATGGGTAAAGCTAAAAAAAAAAAATTAAAATAAACACTGAATCCTACACTTCCCATACTGCACCTGGTTACTGTTGCTGTATCCTGTCCCTCCCTGCCTGGTAAATGTCAGATAACACCACTATGACACTGTTACAACAGTTTCTTAGTGTAAAATCATGGGTGCCCCTTTAATAACAGAAGACAAACTGACAAAATTAAACAAATATATATCACACATATCAATGTCTGAAAAAAAGTCTCCCTTATGCAGTTAGCTGGTAATAAATACAACGTAAACAAGTCAATGGGTGCTTTTAAGAAAGTGTGAAGGGAAAAAGCAATCTCAGTAACGTTAACAGTCAGCAGATGAAAATACCGGGCTCAAAGCCAGGTATAATGTTCAACACAAATTTCCAATTGGGACAAGAACGTCTATCTATCTTATTATTCACCGAAAACGTATTTGCGCGTTTGATATAAGGTTTAAACAAGAACAAGAGGTTTCAGCGGTTTATGCCACCACATAACTTTATCCACATTACAAACAGAACGGGAAAAGTTGACTAGCTAACGTTAGCTTACTAACTTACTTGTCAGGGAACGTTAGCTTGGCCACAGAAAACAGTCATTTACAGGTTCATAGTTAAAGAATGAAAATGTAAGAAGCAAATACAATAAGAAGTCTGTCGCTTTCTCTGAATGCTATTACTCATCTACACTTGGTCTTGGTACATATAACGTCTCTTAACTGACACCATTCCAGGCTGGTAACAGCAGTAACGTTAACTGATGTGATGGTGACAGGGCACCGACTGGGGTGTTCATCTTGGGCGTAACATAGCGTTAGCATAAACAGTCAGACCAAGGGCAGAATGCAAATTTATAATAAGAATGACACTTAACAGCAAGACATGACATTGCCACAGCTGGCACCTGGACACCGTACAGGAAGTTATACAGCTGGGCAGCGAGTTGTCAAGGCGGGGAATCCACCACATTTAGCAATAACAGCAGGCTAACGTTAGTTAGCAGTTAGCTTTAGTCATCACTTTAGCAGGCTAACGTCACAGAGGCTACAAAGCAATATGGGTCTGTAGCTGGACTGGCAGCTGAAGTTGGCAATCGTGTCATGACAGAGAAGGGAATTTGTTGCCAGGTATGAAATAGCGTTGCTGTGGTTATTTTGTGGGTAGACCAGCTTGCGAAGGGAGAGAAAAAAATGTTATTTTACTCTAAAATCTCGCTTACCTGCATCCATCCCGACGGTCTTCACCCTAACTTGTTTGTTGTTCTCTGCACTCCGACCCGCTGGACCAATGGGGAGAGAGTCCTGCGGTGGAATTCGGAGAGAGGCGGAACTTTTCGTACGACATCCAATAAGATCTGAGAGGGCGGTTATTTTGCTCTAACCAATCAGTGGTGGCTGACGTATCCGTCCTGTTGAAAACACTTTACGGTGGGTTGACGTTACAGGTTACAGGAGGCCTTATTACCTGACCATAGTAAAATACACAACATTCTATGTAAATGTGATTGTTTTATTGCATTTAATAAATTCCATTCCATGGCAGAGTATTAAAAAAATAAATAAATTGTAAGTCTGTGTGTATAAAATTATACTAAGGCTACTATCACTACTACTGCGGGTCAGTAATTATTATGTACAGAATAGAGCCCAGCTGTTTATTTATATTTAAGCAGAAGAAGTCAGTTGGGAAATGTGGTGGATGATGATTCCCGTCCTTCAATTCAATAACATTGTTTTATTAGTATTTCATCATGCCATTTACATTAGGCTGGATGCTAATCTGTGGACCAGTCTGTGTCTAGTTCACCTAGTGAACCACTAGGTGGTCACAAAAAGCCATTAATGTTTCTACCATCTTATTCTCTTCTGTAAATACAATCATTCACACCAAGATGTAGCTGACCCTAAAGGTGAACACAAACACACACAGTGAACCATGGTGTTGCTGATCAGTAATGGACCTGGACTGAGCAAAGTCTTTGCCCGATAAATTTGTCTTACTGGAGGTTTTGACAGAGCAACACTGCTGGTGCAAGGTTTTAAAATTGTGTCCTATTGCTGCAGTTTCAAGCCTCAAAACTTTCAATGATTAACTGTAATAAAAAATGGGGTGAAAATTGGAAAAAGCATGTTGGAAGAAACAAAAAAGAGCTGTGTCAAGCAAAAGGCTCGTAGTCCTACTAAAATTAAAACAGTAGATGGCCACCCAGCCTGAGTATATGAGTGTTTCCTTGCCACTGTCACCAAGTGGTTGTTGTTTATTGCAAAGGGTAATGTCTAGACCTGCTTTATATGAAAAGTGCAATGAGGTAACTTGTGTTATGAATTGTCGCTAGATAAATAAAATTTAATTGAGTTGAACTTAATTGAAAGTGCTGAGGCACTGTGTTGTTTAAACCTCAGCTTCCAAAGCATAATTTACTGTAAAGCCAGTCAAAGATGGTTCACGGTGTTTCTATTTCTGGTCTAAAATCATAACTTTTTACGTTTGTTGTTTGGTTGATATAACAGAAATATAGTCTGGACACTTACACACCAAGCTAACTCCACAAAGTTGTGGTTTTGCCCACAAACTCCTGTTACAGAATTTTCGGATTGCTTCCATTCAGTTTCCATAAGTTTCAGTGTGCAACTTGTACTGCAAAGAGCCAAAATGTCTTGTTTAATTCTAACCGTTAACTGTGTATAGAAAACTAAATCACATCCTCTGCTCTCACAATACGGCTACATTAACACAGTGTTCAAATGCTTGTTACTAGACCTTCAAGCACTAAATCATTTGCCTGGGATTACATGTCCCATACAGTATCACTTGCTAATGATGTACCATTTATATTGGCTTTAGAAGCCCTTTATTTAATCTGGAAGACCCCTCTAGTGGGCCATTTGCCCACTTACCTTCTGGAGCTGCAGCTACAGACTTGACACATTGTTGTAAGAACCATTTGTTTTTGTTAATATTTATAGCTGCAAATCACTCAAAAACATGTGTTTATTTTCTGGGACTCCTAGTGCCACGTGCCATATTAATGTGAAATTATTCATGGAATAAATTCTACTCACAAAATTAAAGATTATTCAAGTGCTCTTACTCTACAGAAAAATATTCTGTAACTTGCATTACTGCAAATGCAGTACAGCAATAAAAATACACTGTTTTACAGTGAACAACAAAGAGAGAGATTTACAAAGTTGCGTTAAATGTATAGTGCTGTCTGAAATACGCATGTACATATATATGGTTGTAGTAATTGTAGGCTAAATTCATCACACTCATTAGGGACTGTATGAAAATAGAGGGGGGGGGGTCTTATAGTTTACTTTTAGTTTGCCCTCCGAATTTATATTTTCTTTTCTCATCTCCTGTCTCTGAAAAAACCTGGGACAATCTTCCCCCAATATTCACTAGAAGAAGAAAAGTATAAATAATTTTAACCCCAATTTAAACATAAATAAGTTAAAGGAACCCAAGTCAAAATGTTTCATTTCACTTGACTTCACATGAATTAGTAGGAAAGTTCGCAACATGTGAATCTGAACTTGAATTATATTACAGACTAACTTCTTATGACACATCTAGTTTTTCCTTCCTTTCTGTTGTAACTTTCTGTTGTAATGTAGAACAACGTGAAGGAACGTTACGTCTTGCTAGAGTTAACATTTACTCAATAATATCCACAAAGATATGTTTCTAAAAACTGGCATGCTGGTCCTGTTTGCTAGAAGCTTATTGTGATGATGAAAATCACAATTCTTGCATGGGAAGACTGAAATAAAATATAAATCTAGAGTGAGAAAAAAATATAACACAGCCTCCCCTGCTCTCCTCCAAAAAATTAACTCCCTTCAGTGAGAAAAAAAAATCATAAACCTTTTCTGAACCCCATCACCCTACAAATATTTGTACAGTCTCTTTGTTAGAAAACATGGTGTATTTTGCATTTATCTAGCATGCACTAGTTTGTTAGGCCATATGCCATCCAGGCAAGAAGTGGAGATGTTGGTAAGACCAAGTCCTCATTAATGGCCCTCAGGATCCCGAGGAACATTCTCAAGACAAAAAACGGATGTTAAGTTGTTTTACCTCCAAAATAAAATACAATACCACATTGAAAATTGGTCATCAGTGTCAATATACCGTAGTCACCTTTTTCAACCACTAGGGGAAGCCAAAGCACTGCCAAACAGGGAGCAAAATGAGCAGGTCCGCTGTTTGAGGACAAATGAAAAGCTAAAAATATTAACAGTGGGTGATTTTATATATTCACATCAAACGTGTACCTTAATATATCCATTAAATAAAAGGAGTTAGCGGAAGATGCACAGAAAGTCTGTTTTCTGTAATGGTTTACGTGTTGATCATTGAAGGTTCAGTGCAAATGAGTGTAAACATAATCCAAAGCAGTGGATGCTTCAGTGGAGTGGTGATGGTGGTGTACAGTGCTGGTCTGTCTGCACAGAATCCAGTGTGTGATTTTGTTTTCACTTCTCCCTGAGGAGGTATAACGCGGTTGCCTTCAGATAGAGTCCAAAGGAACAGACAGCACACACCAGCCAGTGAGAGCGGAAGCTGGGGTCAGTGTTCACCACGCATTTCGTTACATCCACCTGTAACAGCAGAGAGGACAAAGTGTCATACCAGTGCTACAGAGCTCACCAAATGAACTCTGACTGTGAATGTAACAAAAAAAAAGACTACATGTGGTTATAAATCCCACATGTGGTCTTGATTTATCAATATTCCGGGAATCTGCCCGACACAAGATGTGCAACTTGCCCACAAATATGTTATTTCAAAGCCAAAGCCCACTTAATTCAAAAATCTACTTGCATAACTAGAACACTTTCATAAACAATGAAATTCCACAGAAAGCACAGTTCAGTCAGTAATGACACCAAACTATTCTCCCTCTGCAGACCCTGTGTACCTTCATACCTCAAAATGTTATTTAGGTTTCCTTTAGGTTTTCTGCATGCTGCATCCTCTCCCAGTGTAGAAATATTACAGTTTGAGTTTGGACTGCGACTGGTCCCTCATTTGAGCTTTTCGGGTCAATTATACAATGCATTGCTCTCCATTTTATTACACTCCACTTATCTTCAAAACAAGACTGACTCGGGTGCCATGTCTGTGAGTCCATGGGCTTTCATTTGTTTACTTGTTATGCTCTTTTCTAGCAGAGCAGAACATAGACAGAGGCACAATGCCAGGCCTTGTTCCTTCTTGTGCCAGAGTTTCACTTGTTTCTGCAGGATTATATCATATAGGCTTTTCCCATTAACAGGATTCTACATGAGGACACATCTGTCAGAGGCAGTGGCTCTAGTTTATGTCTAGCTGTTAGTTGTTCTGAACCAAATAATTGCGAGTTACATCAGCTGACTGATTCTATCATACTATTTTTATGACACGTTTATGTCCTAATGGAGTTCCCAACTTAGTTCACATCAACTTCCACGTTGTAAATACTGGGAAAGTCAGTTTTTTCTGAAAGCTCTGCTATTTGACTTAGCACTAATACGAAGGTCCCTGAAAAGGCCTCACATCAGCCAAAGACCATTGTTCAATCTAATTAAACCCAAATAACAGAGTACTCTACACTGATTTTACAACTTAGTCTCTTATGTGTAATTTCTAACATTAAGTATAATGTTATGAAATCTTCCCATAATATTTATTTTTAATCAGTATTGTATTTATACCTCGTGACTTCACCCACATTCATCTTGTATCATATGGTAATATATTTTTCTGTTATTGTATTTTAATATATATTTATAAGAGTATTGGTAAAATATTATAGGGACATGTTTGCATGTGATTATATCCAGATCATCTCAAGATAACGGGGAGAGAGCAATATTCATTAGAGCTAAAACGATTAGTCCGTGTAAAGAGGGAGGTGGGGTGGATGGATGTGTCAAGTAAATTATGGACTTTCACTCAGTAGGAGGTTTAAGTCCTGTGTGTAAGAAAGTCAAAGTTGACATGTTTTAAGTTAAAGGTTCAGTGTGCATGTTTTAGTGGCATCTAGTGGTGAGGGTTGCGAATTGCAACCAGTGGCTCACGGTGCATTCATGTGCTCCTCGGATGGTCCCATTTCACGAGTTGCGAAGTTGTTCTTCTGACCAGTGTATGTTCATGTGCTCTTAAGCCTTAATGTGGAATCAACATGGATGCTACTACAAAGATTTGCTGGATTATCAGTGCATATAAAGAACACGCAGACATCTAGTTCATGCTACATGGACAGCAAACTAACCATTATAACCATTTTACAAATTACATGTTTTCAAAATATGTACATGCAATACGTGATTTTGCACGTCTTGCATATATAGAGGATCTGATTCTGATTATTCAGACACCACACGAAAACACCGCTCACCCCTCCTTTTTCCAAGTCCGCAGGAGAAGGTATGGTGGTCAACCCGCTCTGTGGGCTCTTGACCCAAACCACGATCTTTGTTGCATAAACCTAACCAAACTACCACCATTTCACAACGTTTACCACGTGATAAACGTCACATGACTTAGGTCCTGTGCCATGCATAACATACTTAAGGTCCAGTACGCTGTACTTGTAGGCTACTTACCAACGCTTGTACATGTTGTTTCGGGGAACAATCATATACAATATGATGTTGTACTTTCCAACGGACATGTTGTTTTGGAAAATGGTCTTGTATGTCGTTTTGGGACAATTGACAAATTTTGTCATTTAGATATGAGGATGTGTTGACAAAAAGAACAATTTAATGATGTCCCCTGGGCTCTGGAAAATTATATGGGTATTTTTTACTATATTTTGATGTTTTCTAGATCTAATGAGAAATAAATTAATCAAGAAAATAATGACAAATCAAAAACACTAGTTCACTTACTAGGGTTTAATGATTTTACAGTGCAGGACGGTGCAAACGGGAGAAAACACACCACCTTATACAACACAAACAAGTGATGAAGTTTAAAAAAAAAAGATAGAAAAATAATGGTTTCCCTTACCCAGCCCCCTCTCCTTTTTAACCACGAGGTCAGGCTCTTACGGACAAACTCCCCCATGCAGTCGACAATGGTATGAACCATAGCTGGATGACCATGGCGAACACAGTCCACTGACAAGGCTCCTGCTACGGCGTACAAGGAAACCACCTTCCCCCACGTCACACCTGGAGACATACAAGTCTGTTAGAACAACCTCAACTATATCTGTACTCAAAGCTTATGCACAGTCTTTTATGTCCTGTTATCTGATGTATGGACACATTGTCACAACATGCAAATGCCAAAAGATTTGCAAACAATTTACGATTTTGATGATTTGAGGGTTCTTGGAAAATGGTAAAACAAAGCGGAGTGTCTTTTTGAAGAGTTGGAGTTTTTTTTAGTGCAGCAAATGTCTGTCAGCAGCTCTCTTCAAAGATGGATGAACAAATTATAAAACCTCAGCAGCAGCCAGGCATTATGCTGCCATGCCTGTCTGTCCCACAAAGAAGAAAACCCAAACACAAGGCTTGGGGCAGCAGGCAGGCAATACGCCTCACTAGATTAGCGAGCAGATCATTTTTCCAACTTCACACGTTGAGTAAAGCTTTCTGCCGCCACACCATTTACAGTCAAAGCTTCAGACTATTTTTGCAGTGTTTATATATCCAACACATACAAACTGAGCCTCAACTCTATCCATCTTCTGTAACTGTCGTCTGATTCATTCCTACGGAGGTCATGTTTCTCTTTAACTGTGGAATCTGGAATTTGAAGGATGGTACCGTACACTGTGTGCACTTGTAACACTGTTGTCTAACTTATGGGGAGTTTAGACATTAAGTAAAGGTTTATGTTTTAAAACCAAATTTTTACTACAGAATGGTCCAAAAAAGCAGCAGGTTTTTTCACTGAGAACAGCTGCCTGCATCTAAAAATGACAACTGGGGAACTGAGACTCAGGTGGAACTTCTCTGTGGGTTTGACGATGAGAGACAACTTTTACATTACACTCAGTATTTTGATCCATTGTTAACATCAACATATTGATCAGAGCAGCTTTAAATAGAGGTTTATGGCGTAACGTGTAGGATGTGACATGTTTCAGCTGTAGCTTATCTGTGCCTTGTGGATCGCAGCATGACATTTGTGACTGAGCTCAAGCACATTACACAATTTTGTGGTCCTAATCTACTGCTGCCCATGACTTCCCCTTCACACAGTGACATGTCTAGACTATCAGCTTTAATGTTCGTCCAAATTTACACTGTACTCATGGAGGGCTACATGTCCAGCATGTAAACTGAAACTTAGCCTAACTCCAATTTCTCTTCCCCATGTAAATGCCTATGTAAACTCAGCTCTCATATTCATTACCAGAGCATGTCTGGATTAAGGTACATTCTTTAATTTTAGCATGTGTGAACCAGTCGGTGGGTTTCCTAAGTAACTTCATTTTTGCAGTAGACTCTTAATTACCTTTGCAGCAGATTGCTTTGTTACATAAGGAATAAGCCAGCTGAGGTTCATGACTGAACTCCCTGGGTGGGGACCAGACTGTCTGTAACAATCACTCGCTCTAGGAACAAGTTAACCTAATATGGACTGATTGTTTCCCCTTACGGTTCCTTTCCTGTAAGGGGATAATGACTGCAACTAAATGTTCCTCCTGACGAACCGGAGAGTCCTGTGGTCAACCTGCATAAGAGATGTTTACATGAAAAAGTAGGCTGGAATTTGTTTATGTTTGAGGGGGAAAAATATGAATTGCTCTAGTAATTCAATGAAAAAACATTAATAGGAGAAGTAACATAAGTTCTCCAAACTTTTAATGTTTACTGTATTTGCTTCAAATTGTGAAGTTCCTCCTTCCCAATGACAAAATGAAGCAAAATGAAGAACTACCCTAAAAGGTCAAACACTCCGTAATCTTGCTTTATTTTCAAGTCCAGGTTTGTGTAGGCCAGAGACAAACCTGATAACAAAGCACTAAAGTTAGTTCCCATGATGCAGGCCTGCATGCGTTGCTTGATTTACAACACAACCAGATTTTGATGTGGACCCACCTGTGGAGAAAATATCTGCAGCCACAGCCAGGAAGGCATCAGACACAATGTTCTCTGACGCCACTGTGATGTTGAGCTGTCGCGCTACGTTGCGGTAAACGTTGGGTCGAAGGTACTCCAACTCATCGCCTGGCCAAAACATATGAGAGTAAACTCAATCAAAAATGTTCTATTGACTGTTTGCAGTGCATCTGATGTTACATTTAGGCTATACACACAGTTAAAGCAAGACCATGTAACTTTTAAATGAAGAAATAGCACATTCTTCCTTTGACAAATAGTTTACTTCATTAGCAGTAAAAACGCACGCTTGTTCAGTTCAGTAAACCCAGTTGTTTTGCTGCTACAGTATTACTTGGTCTGGTATGACCAGTAGCTTATGGCAGCTAATACTAGCTAATGTTAGCAAACTTTATGTGAATATTGCTTGAAACAGATAAAACTGAGTCACTTGGGTGACTTAATTACTTTTCTCCACTTTACCTAAATGCTAAACAGTAGTTCAGCATTTATCCCATAATTTTCAAAAGCGACATAGTCTTGCTTGAAATCTAAAGTGCACTCTGATTAACAATCTCCCCAAAACAAGATATGGACAGGATTGGAGTGTACAGTGTGGATATTTTGTTATAAATGATAAAACTCAGAGTGGCTGTTAAAGTATTAATAAATCAACATTAAATTAATAATTTCTGCATTCCTTTCTGACTCAAAGGGACAGTTCGATATACTGGGAAGACGGTAGGTGGATTTTGTGACCTTTGGACAGAGCCAGGCTTCATATTTACTGAACAGAATCTAACTCTCAGCAGGAAAGTGAATAATGTCAATTCTCAAAATGTCAAACTACACTTTTATAATCTGATTTAGACCTGTAGATGCTTCTTGTAACCCATATCCAGTAGGGGTATCCAGAAGTAATTGATATAATGTCTTCAATAGATTCAGGGCTCAGAGGTTTGCCAACTCTGTTCCGACCACAGTTTCTTTTACTCATTTGGGAGACCTTTTATTTTTAATAAACACAGCCTTTGTTATATCTGAGTTTCCAGTGAATTGCATAACTACCTAAACTGGAGGAGGGATGATAACCACAAATGGTAAAGTGAAACCTCAAACTGGAGGAGCCATCTGTAGTCTGACAGGTTTTATTCTGGGCAAACATTCAGGGAGTCAAATATTACTTAAATGAAACTGTTAGTGATTTTTTTTCCTGCTGGGGGATTCCTGGGAATCACTTCAAAGCCTTCTACTGAAAATGAAAGGTAATCCCACAACACACTTCTGAATGATGAGATGTAATGTGAAAAGGAACCCCCCACACACACACAAACACACACCCTTTTAAACAGAACTGAAAATAGTGTCAATTTGAATATTTTACTTACTTAATATGTTTACTTTGTTCATCTGTGGGATTTTTATAATCTCAAAGGTTAAAGTTAAAAACTATATCTCTTTATTGTAAAATGCTCTATGTATTCTTGTGTTTCTTCATTGTTCTTGGCCTAAAAGTGGCTTCATAGTGTTTGTTAGATCCCCAAAACTTACCCAGCCACAGCAGAACCGACGATATCTCCCCCAGTGTCCCACCTGATGCAGCCAGTCCGTGTTCAGGCTTAGACCAGCCTATCCCGGCACGGTTCAGCCTGGAGTGAATGTAGTCCCTGCACAGTGCTTTGGCCTGGGACACCAGCTCCTTGTCGGTGGGTGAGCGGTCAAACACTTCAGACGCAAACACAGAGGAGCGGCGCAACATCTCCATGCCCCTGGCATCCGCCGCGGACTGCGCTGCTCACCTCCCCACCTCCACCGCCTCGCAAAGCGGCCACCTCTCCCCGCTAGGACGGACCCCTCCCTCCCTTTCTAGTAAATGGGAAGATTTGCGGAGATTATCCAGCATAACAAACCCGCGGATTAGTTTGTGGTCATCTTTTCATAGCCTGGGAGAAGCTGTCCGACGCAGACGCAGGCAAAGTCTACAGGAGCTGCAGGTTGATGGCTGTAAGCTGCAGAGAAGGAAGACTTAGGCGAGAAACAGCTTGACACTAGACCAGACAAGTTAGCCTATGTGTGAATCCATCAAGTTCCAGATGGTGCGTCCATACTCGCTTTTTTTAAAGTTAATTTACTCCTAAGCGGGCCGCATCTTAACTTGTCACTGAGCAGAAAAGTGGTTTTGATCAATGACTTTTATGAACTGGAGATTTGCTGCCACTCAGAAAAATGCTCTCCTGCTTAAAGTCTGAAAGGCTTTCCTTCTAAGGGCACTTATCGTGTGGTCCAAAGGCGGAGATAAACGGACCAATAAAGGCCCCGCCCCTCTGCTCCCATCCCAACTCACAGAACTTCCACACGCCCATGCACCTACAATAAAGAGATATAGTAGGCTACTATAAATTACTCCATATGGGAAATTTTTGGAGGATGAAAGTGAATTTGACGGTACAATGTGTTTGCTTAAACTCTTAAAGGGATACAACATTTTAGTAGGCCCATTGCACATAAAGTTGGGGGACTTGTAAAGGACGGATTAAAAATAGAATGGTCATAAATCCAAGCAACAGAGGCCACGAAATTCCGTCATACAGGTCAAACTCCCAAAACACTGACTCTCCCTGCCTGGTAAATGCCCATATATTTTAAACTCTTTGCTCCCAGTTTGCAAAGCAGGTTTTCCAATATGATAACATAACCCCGATGACATCTCTATGACATCATCAGGGTTATTTTCTCAGACTTTACAAAGCTCCAGCCACAAGACATTATACAGCTGTTTTCACAGATTGAGTAGCTAAGGAAAGGTCTGTGGGAAATAGTAAAGTAAAGCATGTGAAACATTCTATTTAAAGTCCTCCATTCAAAATGCGACTCAAAATCTTGGCAGTATTCAAGGCCGTACTCACCACTGAGGTCATCCAGGTCTGGACCTCAGTATTTTTTCCAATTTCTGTAGACTATATAATAAATGGTGGAAATAATTGCCTAAAAATTACCTTACTTTGGTGCAGCAAATATATTGTACAATGTCAAGATTACCTTACCTTGTCCTTACTACAAGATGTCAACATGATAGTTATATCATTATGTTAACAACAGATATCTGAACTCATGCAATATGGTAGCTAGATCATCTTACCAGTGGACTGTTTGAAGTTCAATGCCAGTCATTCCCAGACATCATTTGACAAAGAGCTCCTGTGCAGTCCCTCTATGTTCAACAGTGGCTAGTTTTACTTCAGTGAATGAAATAGCAAGCTAGCCAGCTAAAGTTAATTCCATCCATCCAATGAAAGTTACAATGCTTTTCTTTCTATTCAGTTTGTGTAAAATTGTTGAAATGTATGTTAAAGTCAGGTACCCTTATATACATTTTTATTTTCTCTGCAAGATCATCCGGAGACCAGGTGTTCAACACAAAGAAAACTGACCTGATCCAACACAAAACATCAGAATCAGAATCAGTTTTATTGCCAGGTATGTGTACACATACGAGGAATTTGACTCAGGATTGTACATTGTTCATGACGTGCTTACTTATACAATAATACCATAACACAATAATAAAATAATAATAAAATAAAATAAAATAAACATGTCATTACCACAGAGATATGTTCTTTGGTATTTACTGTGAAACTTAAAGGCTCAATTTAACAACACAAACAGCTAGCACAATTATAGTGTATTGATGTAGATTTAATGTATAAATATATTATTATACAACTAACATTTTTCTTACTTTTATGTACTGTTTGAGACGCATTTCTATAATTCAAATGGGGCATGCTCCCAACCAACCCTAGCAAGCTCAGTATTTGGGCCTCAGTATTTCTAAAGCCCTGCGTACAGCCATGGCAGTATTATGTACTTAAAGGGTTCCTTTCAGTAACACAGTATTTTTGTATTTATCTTTTAAAATGTTTATTGTTATGTGCATAATGTGCATATACTTTTGCTATTCAGGGCCATTTATCATGTCCTTGGGATTTTTTTTGCAAAATTTGGGGGCTTTGGGGAGCTGCTCATCTTAGCTTAGCATAAAAGACTGCCGACAGAGGGAACAGCTAGCCTGGATTAAACTAATGAGATGTAACATATTAGTGAGTATTAGAGGTGCTGGTAGGCAGATTTTGTCATCTTCAGACAGAGCCAGGCTAGCTCTAACTTATCTCTTGGTGTCTGGTAAATTTGGTGAGGTATGTATGGGTGTCGGACTCATGACTCTGCATTTCTATACAGCCCTGATGGTGGTGTACTTTTTTGTAAGGGGAAATAAAGTGAAAGCACACAGTCACATGGTGTCTGCCTACTCTTGTATATTGTATCAAAAGAGGAAAGTCAGTTATGTGTTCCCCCTGTGGCATACTAATCCAGCAGTGATTAGAGTTAGCCATGTTAGTAACCACATTGCATTCTCTCAGTTCTGTCACATGGAATTGTGTGAATGTAGATATTGTAATCTGCAAACTTTCTATTAACTAGACCTATTAGGTAAAGATAGACAGTACAAGTCTAAAAGCATTGGTCATCATTTTTGACAGCCATGATGACCTAGTTTATGTGCTGGTAGAGCAAAGTACTAACCATCGAGCAGCTACACACCTTCTACACTCCCTAACAGAAAACAATTTGAATAGATTTTTTTGGCAGATGAGCAATATTGTAGCTTCTAGGGAAGCCACCACACCCACTGCTCACACTGTCTTGACATGCCTGAGGAATGCCCTGCTTTCTTTATGACTGCTCAACAGATTTGCAGATCCTTGTCAACACCGTATGCAAGAAGGGCAACTCTTCAAACTGTAACTGATGTGATCGTGACAAAGCACCAATTTATAATACAATTTGTAGCAGCTGAAGTATTATTACGGTGTTTAACTATTAGCTCGGTTTTCACAACGCAGTTTCAGTGTGTACAACTCATAATGTGTAAAACACTAAATCACATCTTCAGTCCTCAGAGTAAAGACACCTCAGTGGTGGGATGTAACTAAATACGTTTACTGTATGGTACTTCGTTACTTACTGCAACTTTAACATTACACTCCACTTCATCTCAGAAGCAAATACTGTACTTTTTACTCCACTACATTTGTCTGACAGCTATAGTTACAAGTTACTTTTCAGATTACAGCGTCTCATTCCCTTCCTGTCCAGTGAAAACCATGCGTCTCCAAATTTGGTAAAATAGTTGGAGAAGATTCTCATACATTGGTTGGTCCGTTTCTGCACTGATTTTACAATTCTTTTATCTTTAAAACACTTTATGGTCTTACATGAGCATACTTGACTGGAATGCTTCCAATCTATGAACCAGGATGGCCCCTTATGTCCTCTGGCACTAGAAAAAAAAGCTTTTAGTAAGGCAGCTTTTAGTTTTTATGCTCTGAGCCGTTGGAACAGCTTGCCTGAGGATCTGAGAGCAGCTTAAATGTTGATGTCTTTAAAAAGTAACTTTAAACTCACCTATGTAGCCTGGCTTTTGATTAGAATGTTTTATGGCCATTATTTATTTTATCTGATCATTTATTTTACAGTATTTGTGTCTTAAATGCTCTATTTCCCCTCTTATCAATTTAATTTGTAATTACCTTTTATTTATTTATTTTTAAATCCATTTTATTGGCCAGATAACATTTTCATCATTTTGATTCCTTATGTGCATTAGTCTCAAATTGTTTTACTGTTTTCATGTGTACCATCTTATCAGCTTTTCAATCATCCATAAATCACTTTGAATAGCACTTACCTGTACTAAAGGTGCCATACAAATAAAGTTTATGGATTTACTTTTATTCATGGATGAATTCAGGTTGTCTTGAGTGTGAAGACAGGAATGGGAAATGGCTCACTTTTAAAAGACGATGCAAACAGGGCGACTAAAAATGTAAAACGTCTAACCACTAGACATTTGGTAAACATCTGCAGTCTAGATGTTTTCAGATAACTCTGCAACAAACAGTATGTGAAACAACTGATAATTATCAGCACAAAGCCGCAGAAAATGTGATTGAAACGATTTTTATTTGTTAGGTTTTCAATGGAATAACATGAAGACTACATGAGGGCTTTCAGGAACATGGCCCTGATGACATGCTAAACAATAAATAGGAGTAACATACTGTTTGTTAACTGTGTAATAGCCAGTCTCTTACACACACAGAATGTCAGATGGTTTGGAGATGACCTCTATCATCAATTTTGTTACAGCTCCAGTGGTTTCTCCGGACACACGTGCACAGACGCACGCACGCACGCACACACGCACACACACACACACAGGGTAAGGGTTCCAGTCTTCATACAAAAAAAATATACCAATTAATACCAGGGTTGCCTGTAGCGCACTAAATAACTGACCATATTGGCGTCTCCCATACATCAGCTCCCATTTATCCAAAACAGTCAACACAGCAAGACGTCACCAAGTACAATTACTTCAAAATATATTCTTCTGGTTTGTTTTCAGGAGGAAAATCTGCCAACTTTTCACAGAGTAAACACTACACAGTTGTTATCCCTATGCAAAAGTAAAAAACAGGATACATTTGATTACATTTGATATTAAAGAGAGAAATGTAGCACCAAACTGGCCGTAATGCCACCTAACCAGGAGATTTCAGTCGAAAAGCTCCCTTTTGAACATTTGAAACATCCTTTGAATCCTTCAATTAACAGGCAAATAAAGCCTCAGATACTAGTTTAGAAATAAATACTGGTTATAGTAATAAGTCATACAGCTTTATTTTCAGTATTTAAAACCAAAATGGCTTGTCTCACTGTCCCAACAGCAGCATGAACTTCTCAAAACTTCCCATGCATCTCCAAAATGTAATGATTTCTAATCCCAAACCCGTTTCAACATTCCATGAACCCTCTGCTCGCCCCCATCTCACACACATCTCTGACTGTTTCAAAGTAAATACTATCCTGAACCTTCTTTTTCCACGTACTGTACATCATCTGTGTCCCACTTATAGCACAGTGCTGTACCCAACATAGCTTCAGTCATCAGGTGCTTAAACAGAAAAGTCCTTCAAAAAAGCCTGAATGTAAGCCCTTTGTGTAGGAGTTGGTCCCAAATAACAGTATTCCCCCATCAGTCTGTATGAGCAGCCCAATTGAGCGCTATATATGCAAAAACTGATCAAAATGTACAAGTCTCCCTTTCATTATATCCTGTATAGGAACAAATGTTATCAATTAAATCATTAATCAAGAAAACTGCACAGGTCATTAGAATGAAATCTTTAGGCTGAGAAATGTTAACACTTAAACTGGCAATATCTGTCAATCTCCAGTTGCTATTTTCCAAACGTTCACTTCACTTGAAAGTTACACTGACAACCAGACTGGCGAGTCTTGCTCTTGTCCTAGAGGCCCAGCCTCCAGGTATATGATGTTAGATTCAGTTTCCGTTCATCTCCATGGTACCCCCTTTGGGTATGAGCAGGCTCACCCAGCCCGTAGTGCTGGCTGCACTCTTGATCACCTCCATCCATCTGCAAAGACAAAAAAAAAAAAAAGACTTAAAACTGGTCTAAACCTGTTTGACACAACTTTAAGGCTGACCTGTAAAATGTACTACAATGTTCTGGAAATTGTAAAAAGTAACAAACCTTTCAAAGGTGTACTCGCTTTCTGCCCGGAAAAAGTAAACGTGGGACTTAAACTGCAGTTTGAAGACGTACTCCTTGTGAATACTGTCTGACTCTTCGGGGGTGCTGACCGTGTAGCCAAGCAAGGGGAGGCTAGCCAGCGGGAAGTCGTCCTGCAAGCAGAGATGGAAACGCTTTCTGAAAACAGAGCCACTCTCACCCTAGTTACACGTTATAAATGTCATGTACTCTCTCAGAAACCATAAATCTCAGTCTGCTGACCTGGTGAGTCTTGTAGAAGAACAAGCAGAAGTTGGTGAAAACAACCCAGAGTTTCTGCCAGCCATTACTGTTCTTGAACTTCCTGAGGAGGTAGCCTGAGAGCTGGTTCTACACCGAGGGAAAGGGCAGAACGTATAATGGTTAGAAGGTGATAATTAAGTCAGTCAGTGATTTGCGGCTGTGTGTGAGGGCTTGGTTGTGACATATTGCACTGATTACGTAGAAGACGTTTGTGTATTAATAAGGGCAGTTAGCGTGTTGATGCACACTAACTTTATGGAAAATGCGTTCATTTCTTCTAATCATGTTTCCTTTCTTGTCTCTGGAAGCTTTGTTGCTACTGTTAAAACTGCATGTTTTCACAAGATCGGCCAAATCCAGAATGTAAAACAATGACATGGAGGTCATGCCATAAGTGAACTCGTTACTGTTTGCTATTTGGCACTCATGTTTATATCTTCATTTCCAAGTATTTAAAAAGAAACTACAATTTATTACAACCCCTCTTTTCCTCCCCCCACATCTGGCCATTGGTTCTTTTTTTAAAAACTTCCCTTGAACAGAGAGAATCCAAGCATTGCCTAGATGTATGTAAGGTACAATTACTTGCTTTGTGTGGGTTTTTTTTGGGTTGGTATAGTTTACTTTATTTGTTTTGTTGGGTGGGTATTTATTGTAATGGATGTTTTGATTTGTGTGTGGGTGATACAACCTGTTCTGAATTTGTATCTCTTGAGTTATTGACGATAAAATTTGATGCATCAATAAATCAATCATGGTAAATTGCAAAAACATTTTTTTGTTATTCATTGAATTTCAATATGTGATTAAATACATAATTAGCTGCATTAACGGAGTCATGCTTTCTACTTACTGAGACTTCAAGTACAATAATTGGACCCCTGCCTGTGGCTCTAGTACCTGGTTCATGCGCAGGTAATCAGTGAGAGAGAGGTTCTGGTTTCGGTACCAGCAAACATGTGTGATGGTGTTTGGTCTTTGGCCCTGACCGAGGAGATAGCGAGGAGGAAGCTCTGGTGAGACAGCCGGAGAGCCGAAGACTGAGAGGGTGAAGACACAAAAAGGAAGAAAGGGTGTAGAAAAAGTGTTAGCATGTTAGCTTTGAGAGGAAGAAAGTGGAAAGAAAGAGCAGAAGTCCTCCAGGTCTGTGGAGTAAGAACGTCAGTGTCAGAGAAATGATGACCGAACCCTTCTTACATCCACATTAATAATATCCTATCAATCGCATAAGAAATCAAGAGCAAAGAGCCTTCCAGACAGACATGATTCTTTAGAACACAGTTCAGTCAAACAGTGCAGACAGTAGAAACACAGGATATATCCAGTCACCAGAGGAAAACGGAGGGACATTAAGGGAAACCGAAAGGGTTAGAAGAGAAGGTGAAAAGGCGAGATGGACCCCAGAATGATGACACGTTGTTCCTTGAACCCACCGAGTCAGTCTTGACGAATGTGTGTGTGGATGTGTAAATGGGTGTGTATGTGTGCCTAATGTGGGGCAGGAGGAGGAGTACCTCCACAGCCAGACTGTGATCAGACATAGACACGCTGGTGTTGCGGTGCCAGCACACATGCATGGTGGTGTTGGCACGGTGGTGTGTCTGCTTGTCCAGTGAAGTACGGGAGGAGTTCATGTCATCCTCGGACTCCTGCTCCAGAGAAACCTCGTCAGATGAACCTGAGGGAGGAAGAGGGGGGAGAAGGGAGGAGGTGGAGGAGGTGGGACAGGAGTTTTTTTCTGGAGGAAGTGGATTAATTGTACATTTGAATGTGAGCTAAATCTCCTACGTTTCTTCTTCAGCGGCGGAAAGCATAAAAAAAAACTCCACATAGAGGCACACTCCACTCAAAGTACCGTAGTTACCGTACGTCTTCACGTAATACTGAGGTCAATAGAAGTTCTTACGGTTGGAGTGATCCCCGAGTCCAGCATCAAGGAAGATGCTGGATTTCTCCTGTGACTTCTTGGCCATGTCAATAGCAATGTTCAGATCCTCAATCCACTTCCCCATCTCCACTTTAGAGCTGGAACCACAAACATGCAGACAGAAGATGGGAAAACAGTGCACTGATTTAAACATGGTGAGAAGTTGTGTGCATTTACAATATGGACACGTGATTAAATAAGAAATTATAACATGATGTAAAAGTTTTTAATGCACTTCCACTTAAATATTATTCGAGTGTGTAATTTCACCATTTCTTAAATTTGCCTACATGATATTACCAGCTTCATGACCATGAAGTCAATTACAACAGAGTGAAATATACATGTTAAAACACAAATCTTTTGTTAAGGATGGTTGCCTATCCTTTAGTGTATGTTTTACTAAAAGATGAACTGGATCACATTACTTTACACATTAAAAACAGTATTATTTATTGACAATGCACATTAACTGTTATCTACAAACAGTTTAAATAATAACCGTACAGTTTAACTTTTTTTGTCTTTCCCCTTCTCACCTGGCAGCCACCACAATGGTCCTCTGAGCAGAGTAGATGGTGAAGCAGTGCGGGACTGACCACTCATTTTCACTTTCCTCAACCTACAAAACAAAAAGCGAAATCCATAAAACATTAGCCAAACATGGGAAGCACTCGGTCTAAACACTGTCTTTGCAATGAATGATTTAAGCTTAGGAATAAAAGGTGGGGGGCGGGGGGGGCAAAGTCAGAAAGCCTGCCTTAAGTCAGACAGACCTGCCAGAAAGCCTCTACTGGAGCGTCTATATGTCCTTATTTCCATTTAGCCTCCTATCAGTACCCAAGATTAAGACCAAAAGTCTGCCTGATTGCCACATTGTTGCTTATGTGTCATCATTTGAGATGTCCTGTGGTTTATTTTGGCTTGATATAGAATCACAAATAGCTGCAAGGACTGACGTGGTTCTGCGTCTTGAGCAATCGGCTAGGTGTGCTTTTTGGGGATGTGTCTACACAAGCACGGGAGAAGAAGGGTAGGGTTCGGGCATCCAAGCTGCCAGTGCTCAGTGAACTTACCGGTGCATCCAGCACTATGAGCTGCAGCCAGGAGTAAAAGCAGAGACATGCAGTGTTAAGAGACCCAGGCCCTCCCTTCTCGACACACTGCCATACTGACCAGATCATACGGACACATCTAACCTACACATCTCATCTTCAGGTATTGCTATTTTTCCTGATAGTGTACGCAGAGCTGTAGTGGGACTTTCACAGGAAGGTTAACGGGGGACAAAAGTTAGAGTAGGTGAACTAGAACTTATATACTTACTATCATGCCATGAAGTGGCAGCTGGCCATGCACTTTGAACTGATTGGTCGCTGTAACACCTTTGCTTGTGTAGAGGAGCATGTCTGAGAACTGAACGGACAACAGAAACATTTAGGGTTATTTTCTTAAATACAATTAATTACAGTTTAAGTAAAAAGGAGTTTTGTACCAACCAGGAAAAACATCCGTTGCTGCAGTCCTTTCTTGGTAAGCTTGTACAGACACCCCTCTCTTATGAACTCCTTAAAAAACACACATGAAGGTTGTCAGATTCACAGTTACACTTTTACCCAGTTTCCTGGCTCCCCCTATCCTCTGCTCTGCGTCACTGCACTCACCCTGCCTGGTGCTGTTAAGTTCTCTATACCAATCAGGTCTCTCTGCAGCTCTGTCAGCTTCTGGAAATTCTCTAGCCGGATGAGACTGCTCTGGAGCTGGGTGGCTATCTCAGCCACTTCCTTCAGAGCCTCTGCAAAGAAACAAAAATAATGTGAATCCAAAATACTTATTACCATCTCAACAGATCAAAGAGAAGACGTCTGAAACTAATGTTTTACTTCAAAGTGAAAATTGAAGACACCAGATGGTTAATTATGTCGTTAAACTTCTCTTTATGGTCAGAATGTGACAGAATGTGCTGAACCCAGCACTATAAAAACACTTAACTATATTACTAACTTTTAGTGTTTATACAATTTTCCTTATGATTTTAATATAAAAGTTATCAGTAGAGGTGTTAAAATACAGGTTTAAGGGTGATGTGCAAGTGATTCTTTTCCTCAAAGTTGTCTTCATCAACTAGCATTGTCTTTAACAAGTAAAATGTTTCACCCTCAGTTGATCAGACAAAGTGACTTTGGAAATAAAGACAGTTGGCTTGTTTAAAAAGGCTTTGCAAATAAAAGCCTTATGGAAGACAAACCCTGTAATGAGATCATTCACAGATTATTAATATTAACACTATAAGAGAGAGGAAAATAGCAATGGAAAACTCACCCTTGCAGTCGTCGTGATCACGGTGGGTGGGAGAATAATGCTTGCATAGTCTCTCCAGGATGAGTTTGTAGTGCATGAGGCGCTGGATGGGCTTGAGCAGGAATGTGTTGAGGGGCAAGTAGCAGACTTTCTGCAGTTCAAACTCTTTGTAGACTGTCTCCAGCTTCTTCAGCCTCTTGGTGGCTTTCTCCAGCTCTGTTAACACCTCATCATGTTTCTGTAGGTAGCTGGTGAATTCCTAAGGAAAAACAAACATGTACACAGCATTGAACACAGGACATTCTGCTTGCCCTGCAGGAGAGATCACGTTAGTTAGAGAGCTAGCAAAGCATTTTCACCTTAAGAGCACACATGTTCCTCAGCATCACATCACCAATCCTCTGGTAGTCCCCTTTGACATGAGCGTTAGAGCGTCCCTCCCTGGGGAAACCGACAGATTAGCAGATTCTTTATTACTAGCAGTCTTTATTACCATCTTGTCAGAGGCTTCCACACATCTTATCACGCAGAGGAACACTGAAGGAGCACCTACCAGAGAGCCAGTCTCTGGTCTAACTCCTTGAGGAAGCCCCGATGGAACTCGTAGATGGGGTCGATGTTGGAGAAGAGGAGCGTCATCAGGCCTTCAGGCATGGCGTTTTCTTTGATCACAGCGCTGCGAAACCACTGGAAGCAGGAGAGAGACAACGGGACTATTAATGCATGTATGTATACAGTATATAGACTGGTTTTCATGATCATGGATGAAAATGTATGAGTTATGAGTTGATTTATGAGGTTTATGAGTCGGGCATCGAAAAATAAAATTTCTACAGGCAAATGTTTCAAATTGAAACAACCATCTCAAAACCAAGACGCACATTTCTAACCTCTCTGTTATATGAGTTTGGTGCAGAGCAGACTGTACTGTAAGTGGGCTGAGGAGTGAATTATATGATTATATACAGTATTTCTATATATTTTTGGAAACTGGCGAATCAGTCAACTTGGAAAACTCTTATTCAGGTACAGTCCTAATGCCTACCTTCAGAAATGTTAATTCCAGCATCCTTATACCTGTTTCAGTAAAGCTAAGGAGGTCATTTTCACGCCAGAAATGCCTTTGATGAGTGATGGGTTTGAAATCATTTCCGATATCTTTATGGCAGGAAAGGTGTATCTTGTATATTACACCTTTCCATCCATCATTTGTTTTTTGTTGTGAATTGAATATCATTATAGTGTATTTTGTACTTATCTTAACTGCAACATTATATACACATTGCTGTGGTAATATAAATATTAAAAACAAACTCACCACAGTGATGACCTCGAGGTCTTTCAGGTACGTTCGCTCAGTGGTCAGAATCTCTTTGGCAATGAAGTAGGCCTTGTCGGCGGGATATCGCTGAGGGAGAACACGGACATAAGTTGCAAAATTGAGTGATGGACAATCTTCCCTCGTCATTTACCTCCATTTACTAAGAAATTTTTTTTTGAAAATACCCTCCCATTATAAATTACAAGGAAGGTTAAGTCTGTCGGTTCTGCAATCTCTACTGCTTAAAAAGGGGTTGTGAGGCGGGGGTGGAAGGGTGGCATATAAGCACTGTACCTTCCTCCTGCCCTCCTCCTCCTCCTCTAGCCTGGCATTGCTGCCCACCTCGCTCAGGATGGGGCTTTGCAGGGGCGATGGGGCCTGGCCTGGCAGGCTGAGGGTCGACATCTGGAAGGAGGGCGACAGGCAGAGGGGACCTTTGGAGTTGTATGGTGAGAGCTGAGGGCTGTCCACGACTGAATCTGTGGAAGAGGGAAATCAGAAAGTGTAGAAAATGAGTATTTTAAAATCATTCAAGCCAAACACAATCACAGTCAAATCTCCTAAAATACGATTACAGTGAGGGGTTGGCTAAGTGAAAAATAAGGGAATCACAAAAAGGTCTCTACTCAAACCGGACAAACATGATCTTTTGAAATGGGTGGAGTTTTAAGTCAACAATCACGCTCTCAACAAGAAGCGGAACTTAACACAACAGCATATTTGTAACTGTACTATAATATGTTGCATACAGTCTAATATATCACAGTAAACTTCATCTTCAACTAACCTGTTTTTACACAATTATCTTATTTGCTCACAGAGAAAAACACTGCGTAAGTGCTGCACATTTGAACAAAAACAAGTGGAATGGTTCATAACACACATTGGCCACAAATGAAAGGGGAGACGGCAGAGTAAGACTAAAGCAAGTAATGGTTCCCACATTTCCCCCCCCGCCATTGTTTTCAAAGCCCTCTACAAGAAGGGCAAATGATTCATTGCCAACTTATACAAGCCCGAATCTATTTCAGAGAACTGGCTCTTCTGCTTTTGTTCTGCCTGTGAGCTTTGCTACATGACAAATCAGGAGACAAAACAAGCAGAAGAAACGCTACGCTATCCTCTTTACTGAGTCACAGGTCAACCACAGCTGTTCTTCCACTTCTATTAGAAAGGAGGAAAAAAAGGGATTGGGGGGGGAAGGCCAAGAGGGGAAAAAAAAAAAAAAAAAAGAAAAAAAAAAGAAAAGTCTCTGCTCGACCCGGAAATAATTGCTCACGCAAAGACTTATCAGGAATGTGGCTTGTCTGGAGGGCAAATAGTTGTTTATAGTTTATCTGGTACCCCACAGGGAATGACACGAGGGGGGAAGAGAGAGAACGCCGGGCTCCACAGCAGGAGGATGAGGGTCTGCTGTGGAATGACTTGGCACAAAGCCTGTCCAAACAGCACACACTCAGCTGGAATTAGGTTGAGGAATCTTGCGTACGAGTCCGACCCAACCCCCAACAGCATACGAGTTTGTTGCCTCAAATATAAAAGGAAAGCGACTGTGTATTGACTTGTGGCAGATAGGCTTCTTGTTCTAATCTAACCGAAGAGCACACAATACTAACAAGATAGTGAACTTCTCTAGAAGGACAATAAAAAGAACCTGCTAAAGTGAAAAGTACGTAGGAGTCAACAGAGACCATTTGGAGTCTGTCTGCTCCTGCATGTGAAAACAGCTTTAAAAGATTTTGAAATCAAAAGTTGGTCCTGCAGAGTTTCATTTAGTTGTTAATTTGAAAAATGATGACCCCTCAAAACCTCAATAGATTCTTTCTTCTCTCTCATATCTACAACTGCGGCAAGGGGGGCATAAATCAGTCGTGATCTGCACTGTGCAGATTTTTCATATACTAAAATAACCATATCTAAACACCCCAGAGGTTTCTGTTAAAGCAGTTGAAAGAATTACATCACCATTGCGTCTTTGATTCCAGTCTGCATCTCAAAAAAGAATTTTAAGTCTGACATTCATGGTACCCAAAAGTGATTACTTTATTCTTGAGAGGAAAACATACAAACATTAGGTACAGGTTATTTATAATAAGTCAATATACATGTTCAGGATTAAGTGATGATTACTCGATGCCTAAGTGCAGTTAGCTTAGCTGGTTATAACTGTCAGCCCGTCATTAATTAAATCTTTAGTTGAGATGTGGGAAGGAGCACATAGGAGAAAAAGGCAAAAATAAGAAAAAGCCATCAAGACAAACCCTTGATCAGATCGACCACCTCCACACGATCTACCAGGTAACTGACGGAATCTGAAACAAAATAATGTTCTCCACTCTCCAAGGTGACACAGAAACAACTGTTCACTCTTGTGACTGGATAGATTGTAAAAACACTATTTTTTAGTTTTAATCAGGAAAAAAAATTTAAAAATTGCCATCCTTCAAAATGACAATGAGAACTCTTTTTAGTTAGCCCTTTTTCCACACAGATTTTCACCGGAAATGTCCCACCACTACTGAAAGGTAAACAGGAATGTACACCTGAGATACGCATGAAAGAAGGTTGCATTGAGAGCGCAAAAAGTAAGTGCTTTAAGGCACTGTGGTGCAAGAAAAATAGAAGATTCTATAACATGTGCAGAAAAAGATAACTTTGCAAAAGCCAAGTGAAGTCTGCCTGCAGGCCGGAAAAAAGTGAGCTCAAATGCAATGTAAATTATTTTTTTAAAAACAGACTCAGCAAGTCTGTTTTGAGGAGGAAATGGCAAAATGGTGAAATAACAATATACTACTGCTAAGTTTGATATCAACAAAAGACCACATACCACAGACATATCTCTGAGGCTTAGAGGTGGGATAAAGACTATTTTAAAAAAGCTTTGTGCATGCTAGTATGTTAGTGACTGTCACATGACAACAAACTATTGTTCCTATTCCAATACTTAAAGAAAAACAAAATCAAGCTATTGAAAAGTTAGGAGAAATTCATAGCTAATGTGCAAAAGTCCCCTGTTTCCTTCCAAAAAACTGAATACCATCTTGTCGGTACCCTAAAGATAGCTAATAGCAAAACCTCAAAACATGCTAACGTGACAGAAATGGTTCAATAAAAGCCTTACTTAGTATTTCCAAAGGGTGTCCTAGAAACACTGATGTTTCTAAAAGGTTGTAAGGAGCTACATCTAGACACTCCGCATTCTAGGTTTCAATAATTAGGAAGTACTACTTTATCTAACACTATTATACATGGTTTACCAACTGGTGCTACAGACATATACGCATGATGATACATTCAGTTTTTAGAAATTAGTGTTAACAGAGTACTTAATGGCTCATTAGTACACTGCTTACATTCTTGTTAGTTGGTGTCTATTTTAGTGAAATATATTTTAATCCTTCAGACATGAACCTACCAACATTTAAGTATATGCCACCCACTACATGCTGTGGACTAGTCTGATGTAAAAAATGCAAACTGCTACTTCAGCCAGCAGATGTCAGCGAGGCACAGAAGCGCTAATGGAAAAGGGTTCCATGGTATGTCTTGTTTTTTTTTAAATACAGGAGGCTGGTCACTGAACCTGGGTGACTTTCGGTATTATTTTTACCCTGAGATTACAGACATTACATTACAGAACGATTCATAATTACCAACTACTGGAAAACTCTACACAAGAAGTGCTATCTAAGAAATGAGAATCAAAGATGATGATTGTTGCTAATAATAGTGAAGTATTTGCTAAGTTGTAAATTAAGTTGTCACATTTTTTAAGTTTACTTGTTGGTGAAGGTATAATTATCATATGGGTTAAAACATAAAAACATTAATTACACATTTCCTTTAATTAGCTAGATGTTTCACTAAATTTAAATATTAAGCTAGGTGATCAAATCGTAAAGTGGTTGCAGAAGATCATTTAATAACATCCTGAGTTAAATTATTGTGTATTGAATTAAAAAAGGACATGTAACATGTATTAAAAAGACATAAGGCTTTCAAAGTAAAAGCAAAAAGATGTAATGCATTTTCTAAAATTCTTGAGGGATTAACCCAAAATGCATGCGAACATTTGCTCTAAATTGGCTGTATGTTGTAAATAAGACAACTGAAAAAACAAACAAACAAAGACTATATCATTCAAGAATCTCATGAAAATTAAGGCCAAAACTTGATAAGTCAAGTTTCATGAGACGACAGGAGTCATTGAAAAAGAAAAAGAAAAGAAAAAAAGCACCACAACCTGACCATGGCAGGGGTACACCAGGTCAAATCACTGACAAACTAAAATAGTGCTGCTGCTGCTGCTACAAAAAAAAAAAAAAAAAAAAAAACACCATATGGAACAGCAGATGTTTTCCTCCACGCCTCAGTAGAGCGCTTTACAGTTTCACATGGTGCAATCATCTTTGTTTTCTGTCCTATAATTGCTAAAAGCACTGTGAAAGCCAAAAGTGTTGAGGCTAAGGTTAAATTGTACTATTAAAGCGTGAACTCCGCTGCTGCTGCTGCTTATGATCATTATTAATCTTTAAGTGCTGTAAGGATATGTGATTTACATTTTAATATGAGGGGATCCAGAGGGGTCTGCGAGTGCCAGGGCCTGCAGGTTGTGGCACTGAAGGAGAAAACTCTCTATTCCATTGCTCCCTGTCAGTGGATTACTGTAAAACAGGTTCTGCTCAGGGGGAAGAACGCTGTCAGAGCCCCAGTCGGAGTCTGAGTCCGAGCTGCCGTTCCCAGAGCCCTCAGTGGCTGTGGGTGGGTAGCTGAGCTGCTCAAGCTGCTCTACCAGGTCACTGAACTGCACAGCAGAGCTGCTCTCAGATCTCTCAGAGTACGCTGGGAAGTTAACCATTGAGCTGGCTTCTGACTGAATGTCAGAGCCTGGCAGGCGAAGTGAGGAAGAGTCATGGCCTCCATAACCCACTGACATGGACTCACCTGCAGAGCTGAGCCCCAGGTTGTCCAGGGAGCTGCACTCGGAGCGGTTATTGGCCAAGGAGCTGGTCTCAGAATGACCAACAATGCTATCGGGGAAGGGATTGGTATTCCCATTCAGGTCCTCAATGCCCACACTAAAGATCCTGGTTTTGCTGAGGTCAGATTCCTCGACATAATCAAACTGATCTACTTTATCGTCAAGCCCAAAAGTGAAGGCCTCAGCCCCCCCGCCATAAAAGGAAATTTCAGTGGGATCATCATCTATGAACTCCTCAGTTACATGCAGCGGTGAATTGGACATTGAGAACATGGGATTCTGTTTTGTACGCAAAAGCTCCACTGCAAAAGCCTCAGGTGTAAGAACCCCCTTCCTCTTCCCTCCACCCCCTCCCACCGAGCTCCCAGTTCCCCTTCTCGCACTATGCTCATTATCCTCATTGCCATTTTGGGAGGGCTGTGATCGGGAAGTGCCACTCTCTACACACACAAACAAGGGGCTGCAGTGTCCTGCTGCCTGATTGCTAGGGGCACCTTGAAAAGCGTAGTGAGACGGGGAAGCAGCCTTGACAGGTTCTTCCTTCGGAGGGCTGGGGGGTCTGGCAGCTTGCAGAGGGGAGTGAAGCGGCTGCTGCTGTTGTTGCTGCTGGTGAGGCGCTGGAGACAAAGGCTGGGGCTGAGGTTGGAGTTCTGTTCGCGGGAGAAGGCTAGAGATGTGCGCTGGGTGGAAGGACACTGTAGCGGAGGAAGGGGAACCTTGGGCCCTGAGACTGTCATTGAATGATAAGTTCTGCAACAATGTAACACAGATGGGACAAGAAGAAACAGAGTGGTGGAGGAGAAAGAAAGTAGAATGTAATAAACAAGAGGAGAATTGTATTAGTTTATTCATTATAAGATCATAAAGTTTTTGTTTCATTTGTTGCAAATATGCATCAACACTGACCTGTTTTGGCACATCTGTGGCTAGGGAGCGAGCAGACATTCGTATTTTACTGTTCCTCCTGAAGATGAAACAATTCAATGGGAAAATTATGATCATGAATGCAGAGTGGAAACATTTCTCTGTCAACACTTAAAGTAGAGCAAATAACTTGTCTTTCTGACAAACTGTGTATATACTGTATGCATGGAAACACACCTCTGGTATGGCGTTCTCTTTGCTCCATTTTCCCTGACATACTCCACAAGTTGCTTCTGGGTCCTTCCACTGAAAGAAAAGGTTTTGAATTAAAGCCCTGAATAATGAAATGACTGAAAGAGTTCTGAAGGCCCAAGGCTCCTATAAACAAGTGTTAAAGATGATTATTGTTTTTGTGTCAGTATTTTAATACCTGTATCTGAAGGAAGAGCCTCTAGTGAAGAGGATAGCTTTGGATTTGGGTTGGGGTTGATCAAACAAACGGAAAAATGAGTGGTATTCTACACAGATCTTCCAAAAGATTTTACACTGGTCTCGACTGGCCATCATAAACTCAAGAGTGTCCTGATGAGGGCCCTAAAAACAAATATAAAAGAGAAAGACTATGAAATCACACAGTAAACTGGTCTCAATCACAGCGGATGTAAGTGGAATAAAGACATTAATCTCTTCATTAATACATACATGAACCTCTGGGTGGAGCTTGATCAGGAACCGTTTTCTCTTGAAGCTCAGTTTGCGAATCTTGGACCAATTGAAGGTATTTATTTTTGTGTTTCCCTGGGAGAAAAAGGAATGTTAGAAGAAACATTTAGCAACATTGTTAGGGACGGGGGGTCGTGTGAAGAAAAGAGCTGGTATGAGAACAGCAGTCACCTGAAAAACCTGAAGGCCCATATGAGAAACAGCTAGATTAATTTTGGTGCCTTCCCGGTCAGCGGCTGGGTGGAAACGGACGCCATACATCTCCAGTTTGCGGGCAATCTCCAGGATTTGGAAATCTGATTCAGCAGGAGTCTGGCCCCTGGAGTAGACAACATGTAAAAAACACCACTCTGTTCACTGTACACTGTTCTTGTAGTACACGAGCAGTATTCACAATCTGACTACAACTACAGGGTCTGATTTCCTGATTCAAGTGAAATGTTTGTCATAGTCCTATTGGAGCTCAATGCTTCGGTTGACATAGCTGTACTATACAGACTTCAAAACTGTGAACAAAAACCTGTCTACAAAACAGAAACTATTTTGTCTTATTTAACTATGCATCCAAATAGACCAACATGGTGGAGTTTCCCCAAGGCGTCTTATTTAACCTTTATATGGTTCCATTAGACCAAATGATACAAAACAATGAAATTACCCATTATAATTTTGCAGATGAGACCCATTTAACTAATGTTGGCAAGTGCACTAAACAAACTGTTGATTGTGTTGAAGTCCTTTGGCTAAAAAACAGACATAACTGAGAGATAAAGGAAGGGTGTGAGAATGCATAATGTAATCTGGCCTAAATTTGAACAGCATCATCTTAACAACAACAAAGTAAACTCAATGGGGGAAAAAAAAAAAAAAAAAAAGAACAAGTCACACTAATTCTTAGGTATCTGCACTGGTTTCCAGTGCGTCAGTTTAAAATATTGTAGAATATCTATAAAATCTTAAGCTCACCATTTTGCACCTTTTACTTGTATGATGCATCATCAACTATGCTGACAGATTTAGTTTGATTCACATGTACACAATTCCAAATGTGCAGCAAAACAATTGTGTGGCTCAAAAGGTTAATAATCACAATTATCCAAGCTTTTGGAGCATGAAGTATAGCATGGAGCCCACTTTGCAAGCTTTCTTTTTAATTCAATCATATCATGACTCGTATGCAGAGTTGTGTGCCCTTACATCCCTTATAACTTCGAGGATTTGAGAGGCATTACCTAAAACCATGTGATTACAACCAAACTGCATGTTAAGAAACATATCCATCCAATCAACACCACATTCTAATTTTGTTCATCCGTTAAGCGGGGAAATCTCCTTAGGGCCCTCCCCTGCCCCACTGGCCTTATGGCTAATAGGCCGGCCAGAGCAGGGGATTAGGTCAGGGAACTGCTTCCACACCGGCAACCATGGGAAGAGATTAGCAAAGGTCTTTAGAGCCACCAAATACACTGGGTTGAAAAGAGTCCCTGTTGGTCATAGGATAGCACTGTGCTAACGGGGAGGCTGGCGGTGGGAAATGTGCAGCGAGTTGTTTTGAAAGACTATGGACTCGGAAATGGGGCACATTGCTCATATGGTTGTTTAGCAAGAACACACAGTTGTCTCAGTTCTGTAAACTCATCATAGTTAACACTAAACATTTGTGTTTAAAGCTACATAAAAGGGGGGGGGGGGCAGACAACATGCTAGTTTTTACTAATGCCAAAAACTGTGATTCACATGATACCCTTTGTGCAATACATATCTCAGATAGTCCAAAAGGTTGGAAGCAGCAGGGTGTAGTTCAAATTTTATGGTTTACTCAAAACTTAGCTAACAATGTTCAGGAAAGAGTGGCATTGCATAGTGGCATAGTAAACTTTCAGCTTGCATAAATCTGCAAGTGAAAACAATGTATTCACTTAACGTGGGCAGATGGAAACTCAACCTTCCGGGGAAGGAAGTCTGTGTATCATTTTCTACTTCTTACAACGGTGAAAGGCAACTAACTCATGTCATATTGTAGTTGCACAATGGTACTTTTCTGGTGTGCTGTGATGATGCTGATGTCATTTGTTACTTAATTCACATTCATCCACTGCATTCTCAGAGCAGGAAATAATCCCACTAACCCGCAATATGATGGCCCTGCTTGGGAATGAGGTCAAAGCGGGACAGTCCTCAACCGAGCTGTCACAGTAAATTGGCTTGCAAAGAAAACTCGAGCACACTGTCCAACTTGCAATAAAATACATATATAGCGGCATCAATTGTCCTGCAACAGTGTGCTCGAGTTTTCTTTGCAACTTTTGACCTCTTGTTATAGAGGTGCAAAGTAATTAACTGTTCTGAGTAAACTGGCCTAACATGTGGTCAGGAGTAGCACGTAATGAATCGCACATATTCTTGCTACTCTGAAGAAGTGGTTGTTTGTGTACCTATACTAATCATAGTGTACAGTACTATTAATTTTGCTATATTTTAGATCACATGTGTTAAGACTAAGACTAAGAGAAGACCGTGAACAAATATGTCAAACTGTGCACAAGAGAGTTGAGCAGTAGCGCCCAGTCAATGGAAGAGGTGTTGACTTTGGCTGTTACTGAGGTTGGGGAAAGACTGAAAGTGGTTTACATCCTGACTGGTATTGTTCAGAACGTTAGATTGTAATATTGAATGGTGTCATGCAAGACAAGGTGCAGCCACCACAAGCTGATGGTTGAAGGCAGATCAAGAAGGCAATTGCACAAATACAAACATCACATCACACAGCTTTAGCTCAACATGAAACAAGATGTAGGACAGATGAGACGGAGCAACTTACAGGTGCCTACGGTGGAGCTCCATGATCCTCTCTTGCACCTTCTCTTGGTAAGGCAACAGCTTGTTCATCCTCAGGAAGTCCCTGTCTGCTTCATCATCATAGTCGCCAATCTCCGCTGTGGAAGCGCAAAACATCAGTTTTTCTTTGTACAAGGTGTATATAATTTTGGCGGCTGCAGTTTGTGGGGCTGTTGAATATTATTGCATTATACTGCTGTTTTTCTGTTATTTAGCCCAAAAATGTGGTGGACAAAATAACAGAAACGCACGCATTGTTTAATGCAATACAGAGGAAAATAAATCCTTTAAGCTGCCTAATGCAATATACTTCAATGTTACAACAGGTGTTGTAAATAACGAATTATGACCTTTAACCAGAAGTTAATCTGCACAATATATTTACAGAATATCATCATTATCATATACATGTATATATCTTGAAACATACACTGGACAAGGTGAGAGGCCAGCAGGGCTCCAGTATTTTCTGTGCAGATCAACCTGCCCTCCATCAGATCTCTTTTCATCTGCAGTGAGAATAAGTATCTATAAAAAAAAGAGAGGCTTAGTGTCCATGTATTTAAGTTCATGAGGAGTAAATAAACACAAATTGAGCTCATCACGGCTTATTTCAAGTACCTTTAGCAGAGGTTATAACTAGAATCTCAAATGTGATTGTTAATGTAAAAATACACAAACCTAGACCTCCCCTTCCCCCCTCCCACATACAGCCCCATTTAAATTTTAATGTTTGATTCTTGAACATTTACACATTTCTTAACGACTACAGCAAACAATTTCATAAACATTTTTGGGAGGACAAATATTATAATGCCCTGAAAACCATAATCATGAACTTCTGAAAAGGAAAAAAACAACTGTGCAGTTTCTAAAGCCCCTCTACACAGGCTTGAGATAAAAGTAATATCCAGTAGGAAATTACAGTCACTGACCTTGTGTACTCCTCCTGCAGCTGACCGGGGTCTGGAGGAAAGAATTTCACTGACAGTCTAAATAGTGCATTTGCCGGTCCTGAAAAACATGGAAACAGATCAGCACACAAACACATTTTTGTTGGAGGTGGAAATTGAGATAATCTCTGACCTCACTTACTTCTGACTTGTTTCACCACAGGTTTTGTGGGTTCTAGCCAAACCTGAAGAGCAAGAAATAGTATCATGTTCGCAATATTATAAGAACGTTTAACAAAATTTGAGACATAGTGATTGTACATTGTGTCAACGTTTAAAGGATAGTAGAAAGATGTGGCGATGTTGTGGGCCTCACTGCCTCACTATAGGAGCCTGCTTCCTCTATTACATCTGGGCCTGATTGAGTGAGGAATGTGCCAGATCCTGACAGATATTGAAATACAAGTGGATATTTTCCTGAATTCTTCTCTCAGTTGATAGTTACACATATGGATGTGTTAGGGCATCCAAACAAATTAATTTAGTATATATACTGCTGCATCTCATTCATAAACAATTAGAGCCAACACAATCAGTTGATTATTCAAGCTACAGAAAATTAATTGGAAACTATTTTGATTATCAATCAACTGTTTAAGTAATTTTACAGAGCACAACTGCCAAACATTTGATGGATTTTCCTTGTCCTTCTTAACAGTTAGTTTACAAATATTTGCTATTTGCCCAAATTCTTCTGAGCTCAAGCGGGAATTTTCATTTTTTCCTGACATTTACTAGAGGAAACAAATAATCATTTAACTGAGAAATAATATTTGGCTTGGAATAATTGGCACCCAACATTAGTTGATCAATTGGAAAAAAAAAAAAAAAAAAAAAAAAAAAAAAAAATCAAAATTATTTTATATATCTAAAATATTTATTTCTTTCATTTTTCTTATAAAGCTACTGAACAATGGATAGTTCAATTTAAATGTAATTTATTTCTCTAAACTGACATTAGCAGCATCAGGCCCACATGTCCTGCATTGATAAGAACATAGCAGGTGTTTCCAAAGCATCACATAGTATGTACTTTTCATCCTGCCATGTGCCTACAAGCTCATGAACTAAACTAAACTTAAGCTGCTTTCATACAATCAGAAAAGCACATAACTTTGATAAAAACATTCAGTTTGTTAATGCAAAGCTACATCTGTCAAAGCAACCAGGGAGTCACAAATAATAATAATAATAATAATAATAATAATAAATAAAGTCTTCAATTACGTGTTGTTAATGTTCAATTATACAAAAAGTTAACGCCTCTGACATCATCAGGCTAACTGATGCAACTGGCTGCCACACTTGATATTAGAAACATATCTACACCCACCCATCTAACTGCTTCTGATGAAAGTTTCAAAATAAAACCAAACGCTTAAAACTGCAACAATGCCTCTATCCTTTTTTTCTTTTGGAGTTACTCTGCTACTACTTTATGTGGCAAGGAGAGCATTAAAGAAAAATAAGGCTACCAACGTTGAATATAGTTTTGAACTAGACCTAGATCGTCATTTAGCTCCTTGGTTAGAGGTATTCCTATCTTTATTTTTGTGGTTGCTGACGGCCTGGGCTTTAAAACATAGTGCTCGACTCTTTTCATGTGAAACATTCTTTAAAATCAATACTGTAGAGCAACATATGTACTGTATATATGCAGAATGGCTTTTCATTGCTCTTGCAGTTGAATATATGAGCTAAAAAGTCAGTGGGTTAACACCAGCTCCATTCTCTTTGAAGAAGATACAGTATGTTTCATATTTCTTCCCTGTTGCTTTACAAAGAGCTTGTAGGTGGTCTAGAATTCCACTTATGTCTCTGGAAGAATTAAACAATGGAAAGTCTGACATTTGTGTATGGATACTTGTGGCAGACAAGTTATTAAAATTGCTAGATTATATACAGCTTAGGTCCAGTAAAAGATCACATCACTGTTTGTACTGCTGTAGAAAGCTAAACAGCAGCAACTGATCAGCTGAGAAATGACTAAGAACGTTCATCCTGGGCCCTGAGACAAGTCATGCTGTCATCAAACTGTGACCTTTGACCTTTTCGTGTCAGTTTCTGGAAATTCAATGTGTCTGTTTCAAGCGGGAAACAAAAGGACACAGTTACCGGTGGACGTACCCAGTTCATCTGCATGTTCTGAAACTCGAGGCCAAAGTAATCCCTCTCTATGAGGTTGCCTCTCAGGAAAACATCAGAGAGGAGGGCCTGTCCAAGAGCTTTTTGCTGAAAGAAAAAACAACAAGGGATTATTATTTTCATCACTGTGTTAACAAAGAGCCTAAAAGTTCACTGATGATACAATTGCTTACGATCTCAACGGAAAGAGAAATTGTTTGTACATTGTTTTGACAAAAAAAAAAAGTTTGAACATTGACAGACATCGCTATCAAAAACAAATTTTTGCTGAGGTGAGGGAGGATACACTTGTGAGTAAGAGTAAGCGCAGAATAAACACTGTGTGGTACAGAAAACGTCCGGCATCTGTAAATGATCCACTCCATTGTGTGTTTTATGGCTGCTCTTGTTCCATGTATCAATTCAAATTATTTCCTTGACTTGGACAAGTTAACGGCAAAAATGTGTCCTACTGTACATTAAACGTTGTGGTCCTGAACAGAATGCCGCGAATTCACAAGCAGGAAATCTGCTGAAGTTTACCTTCTCAACGCTCTGGGGTTTGTTTTCACTAAATGAAGAACTAATTACTATGTACTAAGAACACACTGCAGTTGAGGTTTGGAACCCTAGCCTGTGACTTTTTGAGAAAATTATAGCCTGAAACATCTGGTTGTAATGTAAAATAGTATTTTTAAAAGCTTTATAAAAAGAACTGCTTTGCATCAGCTACAGTAAAGCATTGCAACTCGAAGAGCACCAGGAGATTTACTGTTAGTTAGTCTTGTCATTACTTTGATACAATCATATGTTTTGCAGTCCCAAAATCTATAAATTGCAGGTGAAACCTACTGACACAACATCCATAAATTTAGGAATCTGTGGTAAAATGCCCTTATTCCGTACATTAACAGTGTCTGATTACAGATGATCTCAACCAGAGAGCAAAAACTGGTGTGTTAGAATACTTTGTCTGGGTTGTCTTTGAGTGCAGGCCAGACATACTATCCAACAGTAAGTATTCAAATGTATCAGTGGCCAAATGTAAGAAACATTTTGAGGTATTCTGTCTCAGTTCGACTCGTTTAGCGGGATTCAGTGAATGCCAATTGAACAAAGAGTCAATCATATACTGAGCCCAAAGCAGATGGAACCAATGTTAAAGTGCTTTGTAAACAAAGTTATTACAACAAAACCAAATATTCCCTGTGGATTAAGACAACATTTCCATACATTAATCCAGTAAATGCAGGCTAAATCAAAGCATAAATAGCAATGTTAAATAAACAGGTATAATGAGCATAATCAGTCCTTGAACATGGGATTTAAAAAAAAAAAAAAAAAAAACCCAGCCACCTCAAAATGTTTTTTTTAGCAAGCTGTGAAAATGCTAACTAGGGTTTGACAAGAAACCAACTGCAGATTAGAATAATCAGTTAACTGTGTTGGCTGGTGTGTTTTCAGAAGTTCCTCCTTTCTGTTAGTCATTAACCCTCTGCAGGAATGTAAACTGCGTTCACAGCACTCTAGCCTCAAGGAAGAGTTAAATCCTCCTCTCGGACGTTCAACGTTATCTTCCACAATCTGAGACGGAGGGACGGCATTTTCACAGGTCTATTTGTTGCCAGACAGCTAGCAAAAAGGACAAAAGGTACACTGCTGTAAATCACCCTCATGTGCTCTTGCATGAATACACAAAAAGTATGAAGTGGAGTGGCTGATAATTTCCCTTCAAATAACTTCTTAAGTTAGTTATCTGTCTGTGCCATCAGTTACTGTATACATTGTGGTCACACAGTCAATATACCACTGCAGTGACAACTCCTTTTAAATGCTGCATTCACAGGCAGAGAGAAGAAGTGTCATGTGACAAGGCAATGAGCTTTGAGCAACAAAATGACAAAGCACATGTATACATCATATAAACATGAAATGTATATGATCTGTTGACTTGGTAAGCTCCTGGCCTGGCAGAGAAGCATATCCAGAGGAGTAGAGAGATACTACACATAATATCAACATTGTGACACGGCAACTAAATTGTCTTGGCTATTAGTCAATATTATCTTTTCCCGGATGTTAAAAGGTTACTAGCGCAAATGCAATCCATTGATCGACTGACAGAAAATGAACAGACAGCAATTAATGATTAAATGTTTAAGATAGGCATGTCAAACACAAATGTCATGCATTTCTTGTTTCCATTTGATGATTTGCTGACTTTCTGCTTTATATTATTGCCCTAACCCTTGAAGTATTTTAGTTTTGGACTGTTGGTAACACAAGCAACTTAAGGATGGACCTTGAGCATTCTTCAGAAGTCTGACATTTTATAGATTGAAGGATTAAAAAGATCTAAAGAAAATGTAAATCCCTCTAGTTTAGTCATCACAATTAACATTATTAATGATCATTTCTCAATTATTAGAGGGTGTATACATCTTCTGAAAGCCTAAAAAAGTCAAACCAAAACAACAAAATGACACTGTCCTCAACCATGATTTGTCTAAACCCATTCTGCCTTGCAAACATATCATGTGGCCCAGATCAGTGGGCTGCTACCTAAAAGCCCGTCTAGCATTTTTCAGTTCAAGCACATCTGTGACGCGACTGTGAGATCACACGCAGTTTGTTCACGCTCAACTTGTGGTATGGGCCACAGTCTCATCTCTGAGCTCTAACATTAAGGCAGGTCAGTGGGTCACCCAATCAAGCCCCGAAAGCTGCAGGGATTATGGCAAACAGATGTTTCTCTGGGAGACAAATCTTCCCCTGTGTGAGGAGCATTTAAATGCAGGGTTTGAAAAGCAGCCAACTCAGAGAGGACTGAGGCAGTCCTGTCTCATCCTGTGCATGTAAGAATGAAGAAGAAAAACATAGGTAACCCAAACATCAACCAGCCTAATTCAAACGCAGGGTTTGTGTGTAACTTGCACGACAGGTTAAGCACGGCTCACCAAACAGCAGTTGATACTCCCCAGCCACCAGTGAATGGCAGTGAGCTCTGGCAGAACCTCCTACTGACAGCAGGGGTGTGTTGGGGCTTGTATTGGGCACAGTGGGATGTACATTGTTTAGGCCTTGCCGCCCGGAGATTTCCTGCTGACATACATTCTAAAGCTCTGCACACCAGTGGCCACCTTCACAAGTGCGTGAGGAGGCATTTCAGAGATCATCAGGTTCTTTGATGCGTTGCTTTCATTTTAAATAATTAGTGCTCATTTCTATCCACTCCCTGGCTTCAGAACAAACCTGTGGACAGTTTGGCCAGGGTGTTTGTTGGCGGATAAACACGACATAGTGGTAATCAGGATCAGGTGTTTTAGTGTACCTTCTGTTCAGGTCACCTTTGTATCCAAACTAAGCTTTGCGTACAAAGCACAGAAAAAAAAATAACTTGATAGGTGGGACCTCCTTGAATGGCAGCCAAGTACTAAGAGAGGGAGCAAGAACAGTACCAGCAGGAGAGATCAGAAATGTGCAGAGCAAGGTTTAAGAAGTCCTTCAAGACACAGCCATCAGGTTGTTTAGCTACTTCAGTACACAGTGGGACAGCATGGGTGCTTTGTAGGGATGAGAGCTGAGTGCTCAGCTGTAGTGGTTGTAATGAAGAGCAAGAGTTCTCCTTTTTTGACCACATACATGAAATGCTCAAGACAACATTTGCAACACCAGTATTTTTCTTTTCACACTGTTCACACCTTTGTCCATTTGACCAAAGTCCATCTTTGTACAAACAGTTACAAAATAAAAACAGCACCAACACATCACCATTAAGTTGCGTGACTTTTATCATTCTCAACTGATTCCTGCTACAGGCCAATGGTTGAAATTCCAAATTTTCGACAGGACTTCACTCCTGAGTGTGCCCCCTCCCCCACAACCCCAACTCAAACTTTGTACTGGCCACGGCTGCTCCCGCTGAACTGCTCTTTTAACACCAGAGGCTGCCCCTCTGTCTACCCCCAACCCACTTGGTTGTCAACCTTGCTATTTATGTGCTTGTTTGCTAACACTAAAGCAAAGCCTGCCTGGATTCCCTCCCACCGGTGCCCCGACCGTACTGTATTTTCACACAGCTAGGTTTCACATCCCACCCTCAATTTTTTTGCGAGTTTTGAGCTGGAAGTTAAGGCCAGCAAAGGGGCTGGCTGTGCTGGATAAAAGAAGCCTGTGTTTCCCTGCCCTGCCGGCCCTGCCTCCCTGTCCAGAAACCACAAGGCTGAGCTTTCTCCTGTACTGGCTGTGGGAGGGACCTGTGGACGAGAGCCATGCAAGCAAATGCCTGCTGATGATGACCATGCTAGGTACCTGCAGCAGATGAAGGCCACAGATCAAAGCACACACGCTCTGATCTAATTTCTCTGTTATAGTTCCACACTAAAGACATTATATGACCATAAATACATGTACTCTATCCACCATATGTTCATACAGTTCTCCAATATCTTGATGAAATCTGTAATGCAAATAGGTTGCGAAAGTATAAAGTGTGGAGCAACTGTGCCCTACTTGTGTATAAGGGAGCAGAATTTAAACAGTATACTGTAAGTAGAGAGAGTGGCAGGTAATGGCAGATGACAAAGACTGTATACAAATGGACAAGGTATCTGAGGAGCTGAGCAACCAAACTGCCACAATGAGGGGAGGCAGTTTTTTGAAGGCCACAACCATTTCAAACATTCAGCACTGCAATTTTGGATCTATTTTTGCACGCATGAGGAAAAACTAAATTTACAATATAGGAGCAAGTAATGCTGCTACATAGATTTCTTTTTAAATGAATTATACTCATTTAGAAATAAACCTAACAATGTTATAGCACACTGGCAGTTGTTTTAAACTAAAAATTAAGCTTAAGTCATGTATCGGATGTATAGCTCTGCAGCCATTCTGCACACAGACATAAATACTATCCTCCCACCAGCTCACGACTCCTCAGTATGAATGAACAGAAATATTAAGCAGTGTTGGACAGCGGTGAACAACAGAGCCTCTCAGAGGCCATCTTGTTCTCAGCAAACTGCAGTCTGCTTGACAACAGGATTGCCGTCATTCCCCTTTTGCAGCCATGTATTTCTGTCTGCCACCTCCTATCAACACTGTCCATCGTTTACTTTGAACTCTACAGGCCAAATTCAGTCGATATGTAAGGCTGAATATCTTCCTAATACAGACAAAAAAAACATGTCGAAATGTCCCCTTCTCTAGACTGAGCAGCACTGGAGACCCACTACTATCAAAAACTAAACTTGTGTCCGTCACATTCGATTAGCTTCAGACTTTGAGACAACATATGGTGCATAAGATTATGAAATGTCTTTCTCAGCAGTGCCCCCACTCTACATCTGCTGGAACCGTTGTTGTTGTGGCTACACAAGGATTTAGGGCAGAGTATAACACAAGTTAAAACCAGTTCTAAGAAAATTGTTAGCAGAGAGTCCACTTATATTTCACTGCAAATTAAAACTCCATCTATCAAGCATTGATTTGGTTGTTTATTCATTGTGGAGACTCCAATTTGATCACTTTGATATCCCCCCCCCCCCCAGAAAAGACAGGAAATTTGCTCCGATATAGTGGCTTCCTTATTGCTTCCTATTTGCCTTCTGAAGGACTCCAGAAGCAACTTGGCAAGTAAACACAGGAAAGCACTGTAACAGTGTGGATCTAAAGGTTGGTTCAAACAGACTGCCAATCTTTAAAAGAAATGAACTTCTCTGTAAAGTAATTACAAAAGAAAAGAAAAAACAACAGCTATCATTCACTGTATGCTCCTGTATTGTTTTAAAATTGAATTGTAGAATTTTTTTTTATCCATTTAAAAAATTTAATGCCCTGCGATGGACTGGCAACCTGTACAGAGTGTACCCCGCCTTTTGCCCAACGTCAGCTGGGATAGGCTCAAGCCCCCCTGTGACTCGCAGGATAAGCGGTTGACGATGGATGGAAAAATGTAATCTCAATTTCAGTGTAGGGAGTCAATGATAATATTATGCAGTTACTTGGTGTTGATGCTGTCCTGGCAATGATGGCAGAGCAAGACCTAGAAACCCCACATTTTGGGAACCATGTCCTTGCTGCCAGTTTCATCACCCTTTAAATTAAATATAAAAAGTCACATTAAGAGGCTAGAAAATGCAATGTGTGGCATTACTAAGCAAAACCGATCAAAGCAAGCCTGAACCTTGACAATTCAATATTAACCGTTTGTTTCCATTGAACACACAGACTTGAAAATAAATAACAATATATCAATAATAATTTACATGTTCAAGCTTGAGTACTGGATTACCATATGCTCTACCTCTTTGTTGGTCAAGGCTTTAGAACCAGGAAAAATACGACTAGTACTACCTAGGCATTGAGCAGAAATCACAGCCAAGAAACTAAAAAGTGCCCTGGCGAGTTACACTATGTTGCCCAAATAAGAAGCCTTAAGGAGGAAGGGATTTCAGCACCAAAGCCATGTGGCAGCTGTCACAAACCCAAGCCACACACCAGGGTAGCCCATGACTATACTAACATGCTGTGTTACAAAGTGCAGCCTTATCAGTGTGTAAACAAAATGAGGATGTAGGAAACACAATGAGGCTGTGTAACAGTTGAGGAGAAACTTACGTCTATATCAAAGAACTCCTGGGAGTCGTCCAACCCCTGCACGCGGATTTGTAGTCCTCGCCCATGGCTTCTGCTCCCGCTGATCATGTTGCCACTGAGGCTCTGGCCCGGCTCCAATGTGCTGATACCAGCATTGAACTGGGCTCCAAGCCTTGTACCAGGGGTCTGCAAGACCCTGTATGAACCTTCGGTTTCCCCCATTACAGCTGCACCACCTCACTCCTGCAAACACAGGGAGGGAACAGATGTCATCATTGAATTTGCGGGGGGGAAATGCAAGGCAAGAAGAAGAAACTTGCGGTTAAGATAATGTGTCATTTTGTCTGGGGTGAGTATATTTGTCATGAGACTTCTGAGTGGTGTAGGCTGACTCCAGGTGATGACATGGTAACATAGTTTCTGCATGTTTCATTCCAAAAAAAGTAGCCTGGCTGGTTGAAGCCGTTTGTGGACATGTGGCACTCATTCATAATACGTTTAACATAAAACGCGGACATATCTGAGACCAATAGCTAATATTCACCTGAGCGAGTGTAGGTCGAAGACCACTAAAGAAAAGTTACAAAAAGAAATGACGGCGTGCCGATTAGGCGTTTATTACGTTGCATGTGGGCCTATAAGAGCGTCAACAAAGGCTTGAATGTTTTAGAAAGTTGCAGTTACCAACTATTTTAAAGAGAGGAAAACCAACGGAACAACATTCAGGAAACTCACAATTTTAAACGTACAATGTATCTTCTATTTTAAGAAAGGGAGCTCAGTGGACACTAGTTTACCGACGAGAGCAGCGACCCGAAGTATTAATACACTTATATACCGCATTATACACCGCTTTATCTCGCCATACTAGAATATCTAAATGTGATAATATGCCCATAAGGTAGAATTCAACTTACCGTTTTGCCCGTATCGAAACTAAATCCTAAAAGTTTGTTACACCAAATTTAAGGACACTACTCCAGTCCATGGTCGTCGTCGTCCAACGAGTGCGCACTCAGACTAGTTTGCCATTGGCTACAGCAGTCCCATTCGTCCTACCATTGGTTCAAATGTGGCTACGGCTTGTAAGCTGAGGAGCAAAGATTTACCTTCCTTTACTTTAAATATCCTTGATGGATGGAGAATAAACCTGTCCGCCTGAAATAGTATGTTGTACATTTTAACAAGGCCTCGTGGAAAGTTTTAAAAAGTATATGTTCTCGAGGCTACGTGTGTTTAATCTACAGGCCGATGGTTGTCAACACCCCGAGGAAATAAAATGACTGTTTTATCTGATTCGTTTATCTGATTTAACTAACTAAGCGAACGGTCTTTGTTAAAATGTGGGCTTGAGTTTTGAAATAGATGTGGGTTTTCTCTGTAACCCTACAGATAACACACATTTAGTGGCACATTTCTCTGAACACAGTGGTGTGTGTGCATGCGCGTGCGTGCGTCACGAGTCTACCTAGCCCGAGCCTCTCAAGAGCTTTAGAGCTTAATTACATCAAACATGATGAATTTGTTGTATACTTATACTTATGGCCATTGTTAAGTAGAAGCACGTAAACGATATGAGTCAGAGTGAACTAAAATGAGGAAAGAAAAAAGTCACGTCTGCCATTGTTACAGAGCTCCCCCTACTGTTTTCTCTAAAATAAAGAACTAAGTTGCATTATGTTTCAAACACTTAGGTAGAATGCAGAAATATATTACTGCAACATTGCAATTTAATGTAATCTGCAGAAAGGGGTCGTTTTATTTATTGTCTATTAATTAATCTTATTCTGTAGCTTCTGTCATGCAGTGGGATGAAAGCAGGGAATCGGCAAAGTCATTGATTGGTCCATCACAGGACTGTTTATCCTTTTGCCAGTTGATAGATGATCATATGATGCACTTTTATGGACTTGTTTGTCTTCACCTGATTTGTAGTTACATATTAATCATGGTTGTCATTTTATCTGCACGTTGTTGCTTCTATTTGTTGTTTTCCTCTTTTTAATTTTGCTGATTATTTTGCATTGTTCTTTGAATTCCCTGTGTTTCCATGCTGTCTTTTAATCCGTGTACTATCTTCAAAGATACCTCCTCCTCCTCCTCACAGTGCCCACATGTGATGATATTAGTCTGGTAGAAGAGTATGTCAGGTATAATATTAATGTTTTTTTTTAGGGTGGACACAATAACAATAAGCAACACATGCAAAATTTAATGCATGCCTGTACAATAGTCTTGTAATAAACACTTGGTTTAGGGAGCGTATCATTTTGTCAGAGAGGGGTCAATACGGTATATTTTAAGGCAGCAGACTGTGGTAATGTGTCTATTACTGTTTATTAACCACATTAGCATTACTACTATTTGCTTATCTCTTTAAAAGAGTTTTACCAAAGAGTCATCATAATAAGCTTGACAAAGGTAGCCTGTCAAGTTTCAAGTTTCACTGTACCGCTGCCCTTAAAACTTTATTTGTATAAATCTATTTAAAATCTTTAATTATGTACACTTGAACACTGTTGAAATGTAACATGGCGTACTAGTGCTTCATCATTTTATAACTTGAAATTGTGAGTTAGAATAATGTGGAAATGTGTGTCGATTTGATAGGTTAAGGGAAGTCATTGGCATGTGTAAGTAAAACAATTATTTATTTTAACTCAGAATATGAAGTTGAAACAAGTTAAAAAGTTCCATCAACTAAAAAAACAACAATGTTGAGACAACTAAAACATTGTAGTTATATCAACGTTATGAACCTTAATTTGTGAGTTGAAACAAAAGCAATCTTCAAGTTGAATTTACAGGTGAACTTGCATTTCCAATTTGAACTAACTTTGAATGTCTTTCAGTGTTTTTGCTCATCTAAATCATTTGATCAGCAGTAAAAGCTTGCATTCAGTTATCATACTGTATATTCATTTGAGCTACACCAGAATGGGAATTATTTTACGCAGCCAACAACATTTTATGCTTCACTGATCCCTCTCCTTCTCCACCACAGTGAATTAAACCCAAACATATATACAAACCCTACTTTGTATAGGAAGCTTCAAACATCCTTATACCGATCCCATTCTATGGATCTGTGCCGGCACAGATAGTGTAATAGTGTGAATTGACAAGGGTGTTGACCAAAAGTGATTGATCCATATTAAATACAGTTTCTTAGTCACTGTCAATTGTAACAAATGTATAAAGCTTCTACTACAAGATAATAACATTTAAGCTTTTAGGTTCATTCTTGACTTAAATTCTCACGGACCTTACTAGATTTATTCTGGTTGAATTAATCTCATGGTCATGAGATTTATTCAACCAGAATGGCTTCTATTATTTGCACATTTCATTTATGAATTACTGTGGCCTTACAAACTATCATGAGATGTAACAAAGTTACTAACATGTTACTAATCATCACTTTAAGTGAAAAACAACTGTGTGTATCGACAGATATAATAATAGTATTAACCACTGTTTATCCTGTTCAGAAAAAAAACATTATTCATGTGTATAGCAGTGAACTGTGGACTTTGTGCACTAGATGAGGAAAGACTAGGACCTGAGAATGTAGCCTCTTGAACTTGTTTCAGAGTAACTATTTCTGCACATGCCTATGTTCTCCTTCAACTCCAGGATTTCTTTGGCACATGAGGTGCATATTGCTCTCTCATATTCTCAACAACATTGTGTGTGTCTGGACTTGATTCGGGACGGACCGATCTCACCAAATTCTCAAAAGAAATGATCCCATGATGAAATGTATGATTAGTAATAGATGAAAACTGAATTTTGCCACCTCAACTGGTCTTCTTTGTGCATAAATACACTCCTCTAGAAGGGATTTTTAACACATCCTTACTTGAAACCAAGTTTGTAGTGTCTCTAGGGAATACTGTCTTGGTCACATTTTATTTTCATACGCAATGAAATAACAGCTCCCACGTTAAACAAGAGTCTGTCACTCTTAAAAATGAAAATAAGATATTTGTAACCGGACTCTTTGACGTGACGTTGGAGGATATGATTGGTGGGCGGCTCTGGTATATATCCGTCAGGCTACAATCCCACCTTCTCGCCAGTGGAATTTCATCTCAGCTTCTGCACCTTCAGGGCAGACGAGTACATAAAATAAGTAAGTACTTCACAGCTTTCTATTGAATATGTCTATATAGCCATTACGTATGAGCTCTACCTGTCATATACATGACAGAGTGGTACTTGTTAGGAAGACAGTTTGTTGGTGAGCCTTGAACGTGACACTATGTTCTGGCCTGACTCCGTGTCATTTCTCCCCTGCTCAGCTGTATGCCTACGTGGACTTAGCGAGCTAGTAGAACAAACTGTTAGCTAACATGAGCTAAGGCTAACGCTACAGTTCAACTTGTAACGTTACTTTTTACAAGCGTGTTAGTGTTGGCGAATTTATGTCCAAACGACACGAACCCCGTCTATGAGTATGGCAATTTTAATGATTACATTTTCAATCCACTGTTAGCTTAATGTAATTAGCTGGCACAGCTTGAAGTTCTGTGCAGGGCTGTTTGAGGGAGCCAAGCTAACCTACATATTAGCTGAGGAGCTACGTGTCACAGTCGCACACACCACAGTCAAAGTTTTTAGCAAGTTTGCTAACTAGCATGGGGGTTAAAGCTAGTAATTCACGGCACAGTGATTTTGCCACTGAAAATGCCACTTCTGCAAAGAAGCACACGTATTCGCTAAACGTCCTACGTTGTCGTAGTGTCCCCGACGGTAAAGGTGATGTTAGTTTGTCTCGATCTCAGGACATTTTTATGGTTTATCAACGTTAGCCAACATGACGGCAGCTAGCATTACCGTGAACTGTAATGTGTCGCTGGCAACAGTAAGCTAGTTAACTTGTTGTCGTGTTAGCTAGCACTCACACTAACCAACTGCTTAAATCTATAATCTGGGATTTGGCTATAACGTTATATAGGCTCGAAGGATGTCCTGCTACTGCTAACGTTAATGCAAGTTTAACAAGCTAGACCAGCTCGTCAGCATTAACTTGGTAGCAGCTCATTAACACGAATGATCACGTAACGTTAGGTCAGATACTATGACGCAAAATTATATTAGACTTACGTTGGTTGATCGCTTTGTGTGGTTGGGCTCGTGACTAATGTGATTATCAGTCTCGCATTTAAACGCACAACTGTACCAATGAGATGGTATAAAAAAATTTGGTATCACTGTGTTGGAATTCACGTTTCATTTCAAGCCATGGCGTTACTCTCTATTAACTGTGACTGCTGCTGGAGTAGAAGGGGCAACAGGCCATACATTGTCTGTGACGTCTAAATTATACCAAATACTAAAAGTACCAAATACTAAAAGTAACAGTTCATTACTTACATCTTATGTAGTGCCTAATTTATAAATATTGAGTATGCACAAACCTGGATCCTAGCTGATAATATGCCCCATACCAAACAAACAACAATAAAAGTTGTGGTTTTATAACAACAGTCATTAGGTGAGCCTATGCTGACTGGTTAAATGGATACAAATGTTCTAGTGAATCTTTCACAGCATGTTAAATCATACAGCCTTTTGATAATCACACATTTTTTAATAAACCTTCCCAGTGTAGTTTTTTTCCGGATCTTGCATAATGGCCTATTAGTCCTAAGAGCAGTGGCCTAGTTACCTGGTTCATCCGCAGCAAGCTTCATCAATTGCCAGCTCTGTCCTTCTGTGTGACAAGGCAGTGTCCAATTATAGAAGCCAGATGCTTGTCAAGGAGAGTGAGCTCCGATGGCGCCTATACTTCACTGGAGTTCAGTAATGCGATTCTTGGCATCAACTTTATCTGAATACCCCTTAATTTCTGGATGGTTTCAGTTGTCTTAGGTGGCAGCGGTTTGGCACTTGGCAGTGTTTTCTTTTCTGCTGGCCTAACTAAAACCATGGCTATCAAATACACAAGTTGGGCATCAACAACAGCTGCTTCTGTTTAACAGTCAGCAAAGTCACACACTGTCGGATGTCTCTGTTTTCCTTTATGTACTTGTTTTTATTAAAGTGTACATGTATAAACTATCATGCC